CACCACCAGGGAAATGCGAATCAAACCTACAATGAGATACCACTTCACACTCACCAGGATAGTTATAATGGAAAAGACAGTAACAAGTGTTGGTGGGGGTGTGGAGAAGTTGGAGTCCTCAAAAACTGCTGGTGGAAATGTAAAATTGTGCAGCCGTTTGGGAAGACAGTTTGGCAGTTCCTCAAAAGGTCAAAAGTAGAGCAACCACATGAGCCAGCAATTCCACTCTTAGGTACACACCCGAGAGAAATGAAAACATATGTCCACACAAAAACTTGCAAGCAAATGTTGATGGAAAGTATCAAAACAAGCCAAATGTTCATCGACTAATAAATGAATAAACAATGTGGCATATCCATACAGCGCAATATTATCTGGCAATCAAAAGGAAATGAAGTTCTGACCCATGCTACAACATGGATGAACCTTGACGGGATTATGTTAAGCGAAAGAAGCCAGACACAAAAGTCCACGTGTGATCTCATTCATATGAAATTGTCCAGAATAGTCAAATCTACATATAGAGAAAGTGGATTAGTGGCTGCTTAGGGCTAGGGGTTTGGGGGAAAGTGGGAGTGACTGCTAATGAGTTTGGGTTTCTCTTTAGAGTCATGAAAATGTTGTGGAGTCGATGGAGGTAATGGTGTCACAGCTCTGAATGTATTAAAAATCACTAAACTGTATACTTTGTGTGCATTATATCTCAAGTTGTTGTAAATGATTACATTATAAATAAAAAAATTTTTTTTTGCTCTTTGGGGAAAAATATAAACTAGATATTCCTTTAGAAATACAGAGTAAACCCTTGACTCTCTAGGACTATATACAGCTCCTGGCCCTATGGACTGACCTCTGCCCTTGGAATAAGTAGGTATTACATATGGGGGAATATGGAGGTTGAGAAAACATCGATGCTATTTAAAAAGGATCAAAGTTGATTGAGGCCTAGTCCTACGTGCCAAAAATAATGTATGGAGATCAATATTAATCAGTAAAGACATTTCTGTTATGGCACTTTTCTTAAATCACAATATTGAGTTCAACAGAGTCAATTAGGAAATATGAGTGTCACCCTGATTCCACCTCCAACCAGGAATAGTGCCCGGATGGAAGGGGGACTAGGGAACTAGCCCTTAGTGGGAGTGAGGGAAATGTGTTGAGTGCCCCGTTGAATTATTAGCTTCATAATACCAATGAACGATAGAGGGGAGAAGATTGAAGAGCTAGTCTCACGGCAGTGCTAGAAAAGGGATTTCAGTAAACTCGAGTAAGGATGATGTCATCACACACTCCGTGGACTCTCAGTTTTCCAGGAGGAATTGCAGAAGTGGAGGTGGTGGTAGTAAGATCTGGGAATGAACGGATAAGTTGTAATTACAAGCATGTGGCTCACCCAGGGGTCAGCAAACTTTGACTATTAAGGGCTAGATATTACATATTTTAGGCTTTGTAGGCCAGAGGGGGCCATAATTGCTCATTTCTGCCTTTGCAGTGTGAAATCAGCCATAGACAGTACATGAATGAGTGGACATGACTATGTGCCAATAAAGCTTTATTTATAAAAACAAGTCACAGGCAGACTTGGCCCTTGAGCCAGAGTTTGCTAACCCCTGGTCCTCCCATTATTTTTAGGACTAGCTGGTAATGCTGAGGAGGCGGGTGTTTCTCTGCAGGGGTCGCCTCTTTCAGCGCTGGTTCATAAGCCTGGACGGAGGGCGTCACCTGGTGATATGAGTCAGCCCCAACCATCGCAGTCACTGTGTCACCACGGGGCGAGACTAGGTCAGTCAGTCATCGGGGCTGGCGAGGTCAGATTTGTGCTCCGGAAGGATTCCTTTCACTCTGGTGCTCAGAGGGTCTCAGGCCAGGGCGGGAGGGCGGGATACTCGGGGCTGCTACAGCCGCTCAAGGAAGAAGCCACCGAGAAGGTCATGTACACACTTGTCCAGGCCACCGAGTCAGCGTTGGGAAGAGGGAACAGAGACCCCCTGCCGGCATTTGGAAGAGCAAGGCACCCAAGGCGGTGGAGCAGGGGCAGGGGCGCCCACCCAGCGGGATGCAGGCGCTGGGCCTCGGGGCGCCAGGGGCTCAGGCCCCGGGGGATGCTCAGGTCACCAGCTCGGCCGCGAGCTGCAGCCCCGACGGAGCGCCAGGGAGGGGGGCACGGGGTGTGGGGCGCGGGGCACGGGCACTCTGCAGCCAGCGGGCTGACCTGGGCGGGTGGCCGTCCTGGACTCTGTGGCCGGGGTTCAGGGGCTCATTCACACCCACGCCCTTAGCTGCAAGGGAGTCAGGGACTAGAGTTTGTGGCCGTTGGGCTTTGAAACGTAAGAAGTGTTGCCACCGTGACTGTGTCATGAACTACCCCAACTGCAGTGGCTTAGAACAGCACGTCCCTGGCTCAGGCTGCGGCTGGGGCGGGACCCAGGGCCCCACACAGTCCCGCGGGGGGCTGACCAGGCAGAGAGGTCCTGTCCCCGGAGCTGGCAGGGTCGCGGCTGTCAGCTGGAAGCCCCCCCCCCCAAGGACCTGGGGCTCGGGCCACATGGATCCTTCCACATGTGGGTTCCGTCCTGCCTTGGCACTGTGCCAGGAGCGCGCATCCCAAAGGAGCTAGCAGAGCCGCACCGCCCTTCACTGCTTAGCCTCAGAAGTCACATGGCGCCTCTTTTAGCACAGTCACAGGCTCACCTGGGTTCAAGGGGAGGGTTCCCAGACCCCACAGTCAGCGGCATGAGTTAGGAAAAGTCCTATGTGGGAGGGAAGATACTGTTGAGTGGTTTTTGGAAAAGAGCATGTGCCGTAGGAAGCCACCCGAGAGGGACAGTGGCGGGCGGGTGCGCGCTGCCAGTAGGCCTCAGTGGCCCCGGTTATCAACCCCTCGTCATTGGCCTTATTTTCTAAGCATCTCATGTTTTCTCGATCTAGTTCTTGAGTCTCTTGAGGTATCCCCACAGCTTTGAACTGACATACCGTAATGACGAAAGCTGAGAGATTTCTCATTTAACTCTCTAAAAAGTCCAAGAAATGCAGATTTAGCTCCCTGACTCCATTACACCATCTGGAGTCAAGGTGCCTCAAAAGACTCCTCTGATCCCACATTCTGCACTAGGAACCTTCATGCTGTAGTTTTGGGTACGTGGCTTCATTAAATGCGTGAGCAGCAAAGGGAGAAACTTCTTGCATCTGTTCATGTCTCTGCATAATTCAGAACTGAGGCGACTCCTCTAGGGCTGAAGCAAGACCGTAAGCATCTGAGACACAGGCTGGTGGCCCATCCAGAGCCGCGGAGGAAGGTATCGCACATTCGCCAGTCTGCAAAGTTCCTCAAACGCCAGCCCGTGTCTCCCGTGGGCTGCTCAGAACGCGTCACCGTGGACGGACTGCCAGGCCTTGTGTGCGCGCTGAGAAGTTTCCAATTCACACCCACAGCCTTTCTTACTCCCACTTTCATATCTTGTTTTTCATTTTAAAAATGATTACTGCAAAAAAAAAAAAAGAAAGGAAACGCCTCCCAGCTCTAATGCCAAGAATGTCTAGTTTCTTAAAACTGGTGTAACGTGTCATTTATATGCCTTAGCATTTAACGCCACCTACTCCGACACACTAATACTGTACTAATGAAGAGGAGACCTCTGATGCACCAGAACATTTTGCAATTAGCAAGTGAGTGGATGATATTCAATCACGCTTTATGATAATAATAAAAAGGTGTCTTATTTTGACAAATATGTAGCTTTTCCAATTTTCCCTAAAAAGTTCACTTTAATCCAATAAATGATTAGTCCTTCTGATTCTATGTGCTATTTGCAAGTGGAGTTCAAGTCTAATAAAATATTTAAAAATAGATCTGCTTATAAGGAGATCTTAGTTTCCAAGTTCTGATTATTAGAGAAATGGACTAAGGCGTCTTATGTGCTAACAAATTAGGGGGTTTCAGATCAGAAATAGGAAAATTAAGAATCCTAAGCTTCAATAATGAGTAGAATATGTATGTACGAAATGTCTGTGTTCCTTATATGTAAAGAAGGCGATGCCACAAAGTCCCAGGGAGTTTCACACTGCAACTATGATGGACCTTACAGTTCCGCTACAGTTATTAGCATCTGCCTACAAAATGTTGACTTACCACACGTTACTTGAATAACTACTTCCCTTTGGAAGACATTCTGCAAGGCACCTCATTGATAAACAATCATGAAGGCAAAAAAAAAGAAAAAAAAAAAGAAATTCCATTTCTCCCCAAAGGGTGTTTGCTCTCGGGACAAAGGCCCAGGGAGAAAGAGACCAAATAACTATGGTGACACGTACTCCCGGTTCACATCAGCTGTTGATCGAACACTGTGGCTTGGGAGGGAAAGAATATAAAGCAAGACCAGAAGGTTAGAAAAGCTACCGAGAAATCAAAAATAACTTTGCGGCTTTCTTCCCGAGACAGGGTGAGAAAGAAGCGCATTTCTTTCTCTTGTGCCTGGTAAAACCCTGCCTCCCGACCCCCTGCGACCTGTGACACCCCGCTCTTTGGTGAGCTTTTTCCTATTTCACATCTCTTTGTGACTACTGCTTTAAAAGGAAAGCCAATTAATTTTGGTTCTACGTTAAGGATTTGGTGAACATTTCCTGAAGTGCTCGGGCAACTGGAGGCCCCCTGAATTGTTGCTGCAGAGCTTGGTCCCCAAACTGTAGCGTTCAGTAGACTGCTGGCCTTCCACCTCGGAGCTGCTGCTGTGGCAGGTCAGGGATGGGAGTCCACGGTTCGCATTTCTATCCAGTTCCCGGGTTTTGCTGATCCTGCTGGTTTAGTAACCAGACTCGGAGAGCCACTAGTTTTTTTATTTTATTTTTCTTTTTTATTTACATTCAATTTGCCAACATATAGCATCACACCCAGTGATCATCCCCTCAGGTGCCCCCCTCGGTGCCCGTCACCCAGGCACCGCATCCCCCCGCCCACCTCCCCTTCCGCAACCCTTTGTGTTTCCCAGAGTTAGGAGTCGCTCAGGGTTTGTCTCCCCCGCTGGTTTTCCCCACTCAGTTCCCCTCCTTTCCCTATAATCCCTTTCTCTATCCTATTCCCCGTAAGAGTGAGACCATGTGATGATCGTCCTTCTCCGACTGACTTCACTCAGCATCACACCCTCCAGTCCCGTCCCACCCACGTCGAAGCACATGGTGGGCATTTGTCCTTTCTGACGCGAGAGCCACTAGTTTAAAGGAAACTTTCCTGGCTCTGGCCCTGGGCGTCCTTGGGGGTTGGCACCTCCTCCTCAGGGCTGCTACTAAACGGTCCCAGCTGAGGCAGGGGACAGCTTCCAGGCTCTGAGTCCCCTGTCGCCAAGGGTGTTTCCGTCTCTCCGCACTTCAGCTGCCCAGGGCTCTGGGATGCTGCCCATGTGCCCCGCGTGGGGCGTCCTCCCTTCTTTCTACCCTGGGGTTGAAGAGCTCCCGGCCTGGGTCTGTCAATCCACCCGCTGCCAGGCCAGCCTAGCTCGTCCCTGACAAGCAAATCTGCACAATTCTAGCCCCAGCTTGGTTCTAACTGAAGTTTGCCACCATTGCTTGGTCCACGGTGAGTAGTGAGGTCCCAGGAAGGCAATAATAGTGGTTGTGCGCTGTCAGTGAGCTCCCGTGCACCTCGGCGCCCAGGCTGGGAATCGCAGCTCCATCCCATCAACCTTTCTCCACTTCCACCATCCCAGGGGCCCCCGTGTCTACACTTTTCTACTGCACGTGCCCCAGCACGACACTCCCCAAACAACTGCAAATGGATAGCAATATTCATATTTATTTTTGCAAGGCCTTGGATAAAAACCAATTGAAACAATGCTGGGTAAGGTGTTATTCTCATAAAAACATCTTTTGAAACAAACGTATTTCTATTTCCCATAAAAGTTAAAGTCACATGCTAAAACACGGTTAATTTATAAGATACCACGAAAGAACGTCAGGGCTTATAGAGTAAGACCAGATAATGAATTACATCATTAAAAGAAACAATTACACGTAACTAGAAAACGGACTCAGTAGTAAAATATAAAAATCTACAATTATAAATATAAATTTGGTCCATGGAGACACTAGAGCAGTATTTACAGTAAGTATCAGATTATTTCTACTTTAGGCGAATACTGCAGTTGTAAATCGCTGAATATCATAGGGAACGGCGTGTTTTATTTACAATCTACTATATTAAAAGTTATATTTCTAGCAAACCTGATGATTGCTACAAATACAGCTAAAATCTGACAGTACAAACGAACATGTGTTCTGTAGTTGGGAATTCCTAATATCTATAAATCAAAATTTTTCTGTTAAAATCATTATGAGAAAACAAACCCACAATTCCATTCTTAGAAATACTGTAAAATTCAACCATTTTAGTTCAAACGCAACTAAGAATCACAAGAAGTTCTGCAGAAAGGCACACGCTGTTAATGACGGGAGTTCGGCAGCGGGATCCCACGCCACGACGGTCCCGGTCAGGTGGTGGACGTGAGCAGGGAGCGGAGCGGAAGCCACTTGTCCTGCCTCGATCTGGGGACGGCCGCGCCCCGGCCGGGCTACACCAGGGACTCCAGGCTCTCGGCCGTGCTCCCGGGGGCCAGCGGTGCGCCGTTGCTGTCAGTGGCGGTGGGTGGACTCTCCTCCTGCCTGCTGCCCACGAGGCTGAGGACCGCTCGGTAGAGGAACTGGTACTGGTCCTGGGGACAGAGCAGCACCGGTCAGCGGGCCGCCGCGAGGACGTGCCTGGCGGGGGCTGTCCCCCGTCCTGCCTGGGCGCCGTGGGCCGGGGCTGCGGGCACCTCCGAGGGGATGGCCAGCACCTGCTGACCTGGAGGACTCCCCCACCCTCCCGCCGGGCAGGCACTCCCCCACGCTACGCCCTGGAATCAGACGGTGATGCCACCCGGCAGCGGTCCTGACTCGTGGACGTGCATGACCCTTTGGTCCGAGGCTCCGTGAGGCCCTACTTAGGAGCCCTCACAACTCACCCGCCCTTTCCCCTTCTCCAGCTGCGGGGAGGTCCACTGGGCTTCCCGGGCACAGAGAGCCCCAGAAGGGGCCGCGCTGTCGCCTCGCGCACAGTGTTTGCCAGGAGCCTGCACACCCCCCGCTGGCCCGATGCCCCCCCCCCGAGGTCTCGGGGTGAGACCCAGAAGGACAGAGATCTCTTCCAGGTGCCTGTCGGGGGCTATGGGGTGGAGAACATGAGCTGGGACCGCAGCAGGAGGGTCTCGGACCTACAGGTGCTGGTGTGTCATTCCAGGCACTCACCGACCAGGGGCAGGTCACCAACCAGAGGAAGGTCAGCCTCTGGGGGAAGGTCACCAACCGGGGAAGGTCACCAACCAAGGGAAGGTCACCAAATGGGGAAGGTCACCAACCGGGGAAGGTCACCAACTGGGGAAGGTCACCAACCAGGGGAAAGTCACCAACCGGGGAAGGTCACCAACCAGGGGAAAGTCACCAACCGGGGAAGGTCACCAACCGGGGAAGGTCACCAACCAAGGGAAGGTCACCAACCGGGGAAGGTCACCAACCGAGGGAAGGTCACCAACCGGGGAAGGTCACCAACCAGGGGAAAGTCACCAACCGGGGAAGGTCACCAACCGGGGAAGGTCACCAACCAAGGGAAGGTCACCAAATGGGGAAGGTCACCAACCGGGGAAGGTCACCAACTGGGGAAGGTCACCAACCGGGGAAGGTCACCAACCGGGGAAGGTCACCAACTGGGGAAGGTCACCAACCGAGGGAAGGTCACCAACCAGGGAAGGTCACCAACCAGGGGAAAGTCACCAACCGGGGAAGGTCACCAACCGGGGAAGGTCACCAACCGGGGAAGGTCGCCAACTGGGGAAGGTCACCAACCGGGGAAGGTCGCCAACCGGGGAAGGTCGCCAACCGGGGAAGGTCACCAACCGGGGAAGGTCACCAACTGGGGAAGGTCACCAACCGAGGAAGGTCACCAACCGGGGAAGGTCACCAACCAGGGGAAAGTCACCAACCAGGGAAGGTCACCAACCGAGGGAAGGTCACCAACCAGGGGAAGGTCACCAACCGGGGAAGGTCACCAACTGGGGAAGGTCACCAACCCGGGAAGGTCAGCCTCTGGGAGAGCACCTTGCAAAGGCGCAGCTTGAGGTGACTCAGCTGGCCTGAGGGACTTTGAACAGGGCTCCCCTGGAGCGCGCGTGTGCCGGGGTCACCTTGCTTTCTGACAGGCCGGGGAGTGGGGCCACGGCCACCACGTCCCCCGAGCCTCTCCCCTGGGGACACTGGCACTAAGCTCCCTGTTGCCTTTCCAGCCCTCGTTTCTACAAGAATCAAAACTTCAAGTTCTTCTCAGAGTTGAGACTTCTCTTCCCGAGTGTGCCGCATCCCTTTCCTGGGCAGGTTTCTCTTTTCCATGAACCCAGGAACCACCCATCCGCTAAGCACCAGAACGATCGGGCTCCGGAGGCCACCGCACAGCGCCAGCGCCTGGGCCCGTGCACGACACGCGCCTTCTGAGTGTTCTCGGAGGTCCGCGGACCTCGAGCCCCGCCCCCGTGAACTATTTTTGCAGCTAAGGTGGATTAGTTGGTGCTTCGACGGAGGGTATTTTTCAGAATGTGAAGTTTAAGGACTTTTATCCAGCAATTTTCTATGTTCGTTGTTTATATTCCCGTTCTACAGCCTGTGCACGGACTCACGTGTCATTCAGCCCGAACGCTGCTGCGGGGTAATAGGTTGGGATCCACGTGATCTTTTCTGAGACGTGCCTGGATGACTTTGGCGGCCTCTAGGAATCAGCAACGCTCTAACTAATGGGGGAGTGGGGTTCACTGTCCTTTTACTCACAATGTCAGCAAAGACTCCGGGCCTCATCAGGTTGATCATCTTGGCCACCTGGTAAACGTCCATTGAATTTTCTTTCTCTAGCTGGTGCATAAGAGTTGTCAGCGCACAGAAAGTTCCTGCCGTCACTCCTCCAGGCCTTGGAGCAAAGGGAAGGGACAAAGACTCCATTCAATGCATCAACACTCACAGTGGGAGCTCAGAAAGCCCCAGAGCCCCAGGACAGCCTGGCAGGGGGAACAGGGACACTTCTCATGGGGCGTCTCTGTCTATGGTGCGGAGAACTAAGGTGTAATTGGAAACGTCAGCAAGTGTTCTCGGTGTTAGTAACGGGACACTTCATGGGACTTTGACGTCTGCTCACACACTTGTTTGTCTACTCTGGGAGGGGCTGGCAAGAAGCCAGCACGACTGACGAGTCATCACACCTAGTGTGTAATACGTGCAGATAGCATGTCATTACTCCTATGCTTCTCTTGTTTGCCTGTAACAGGAGCCTGGAGAGATCTACTGGATGGATTCCTGTTCCTGGTAAATAAAAACTCTATCCACCTTCATCCTGTCCAGCGTGTCAATAACTTAGATGTTGTGTCTCTCGGGTTAGCACCTGCAGAGACTCAAGGGCCAGAACACTGACTCGTCACCGAGTGTTCTCCGCACGCAAGGCCCGGGCACCTTCTCGTGGTTAGGCGTCCATCGTCTGCCTTCAACAGGAGCGCCAAGAGAAGTGGAAAAAAAAAAAAATCTAATTCTGTGTTAACCTCGTTTATAAGAAGCAGACAATCCCCCCTGGCTGAGTCACCCCAACTGGTCCAAACAAAACAGAAATATGTGGCCCCCTGGAGAGCGCTGGGGCAGGAAACAGTTTAAGGGGAGGGACTTACTCATCGTGAACAACCACAGGCCCATCTCTGCTGGCAGCTTCCTCTTTGATGATACTTATGAGTTCAAACGTCTTACTAATGGGGCTATCTGGATTTGGCCATTTGGGGCACTGGAAATGCCTCACTTCAAGCACATAATCATCCTGGAAGACCAAAGAAAAGTTAGTATTTCCAGAAGAGTCACCTTGGCGAGTGCCGGTATGAGTGGGATGGCTGGGGAAGCCAGGACTCCAGAAAGGTGATACAACCAGGGACACGCACGAGTGAAGGGCAGCGGTTGAGGCCCGTCCTCCAGCTGCGGGGGAAGAAACTGCTGCGACGCCTCGTCTCCCACGTGCAGACGCAATCTCCTTTTTCATACTAAAAATGAGCCTTATTTGTGGGTTTACTACGGCGATCGCACTACGAGGTCAGGTACCAAAGACGTGTCTGTGCCACTCAATTTAATCCCAAAAGAAATCTTCAACGTTCACATTTGTCTTAAAAAATCACATGGACCTGTTCAAATTCCAGCATTGCTCGGGATCACTCGGGATCGATGCGGGGAGGACGCAGGACAGCGCGAGGCAGGGCTGGCCCGACGCCGACGCCTGCGTGCCACCCCAGCCCCTACACCCCCTCTTCCTGAAGTGTACTCAATAAAATGCCACATTTAAAATTAAGCAGCAGAACCTAACTTTTTATCTGGCCCCCCACTTTCAGAATCGGAGTGCGACATTTAAGCCACCGAAAACGTGATTTGACCTTTCTCTGGTTGGAGACGTTCGCTGCGTCTCACACGCCTCCCTCCTTGGTATCTGTTAGGATTTTACTCAGCTGTACCATAAATTATGTCCTCTAATTACATAAATAGTCCTTGACAAAGGATTCAGGTGGCTGCCTTATAGGTAACCGGGAAGGAGCACCGCCGCCCTGGTCGCAGCACCACATTTTCAAAGCCCTCTTCACTTACATACAGCACACTGTCTCCTGGTGGAGAGCGCTGAGCTCATTTTAGTAGATGATATTTCTCCCATTTCACTCAGAAGAGTTCAAGATAAAAATTTACCTCAGAACACGAGAATCAGGATTAATGGAATTATTATTTTTTCCTGAGTTTCTTTTCTTTTTCTTTTTTTTTCCCCCCTGAGTTTATTTTCAATTTAAGTTCTATCAGAACGACTCCGGAGTAGGAGAGAAATCTTTGATTTCCTGTGCCTGAATGCTGTAGTTTGGTGGTGACTGATGTTTAAATGATTCTACGGGATTTTTTTTAACTTTTTTTTTAAATTTTTTTTATTTATGATAGTCACAGAGAGAGAGAGAGGGGCAGAGACACAAGCAGAGGGAGAAGCAGGCTCCATGCACCGGGAGCCCGATGTGGGATTCGATCCCGGGTCTCCAGGATCACGCCCTGGGCCAAAGGCAGGCGCCAAACCGCTGCGCCACCCAGGGATCCCGATTCTACGGGATTTTTTTAAGGGAAAGTGACAAGTAAGGTAAAATTGACTATTTGGGTAATCTGTCTTAATTCGTAAGAAATTAGGTTCCTTCTTTTTATTTCTAGGGAAGATCCTTAAATCAGCATATATTTAACATAACATGTGCGTAAAAGAAAAAAAAAAAAGTTGTCCTTTCAAGTGGGTCCATACCTGTGTCGCTTCTAAGATAAAATCCTGAATGATAAGCTTTTCTTCATTAGACAGACATTTGTGTTCTTCAGCCATAAGGGTGACCTTAAAACTCTCACAGTTTATAGGCTCGTCTTTATTTGGCCAGTAAACAAATTCATCTTCTGCCTGGAGGATTAAACACCATAGAAGAGTCTAGATTTTAATCAAATGTTTAATAAGTCAGACTGTGAAATGAAGTTGACTGGTTGACATAGAGGATTCAACTCGAATTTTTCTTCGGATCTCAAAATCTACTCTGGAGATGTTGAGCGTTAAACAAGTCTGATGTGCGGAATAAAATATTACACTTAAGAAACTACACTATGGCTTTGTGTTCCGCTCTCAGCTCTTCAGTAACAATGGCAAGTTGTGGCTTCCGTAAACGATAACTGAGGAGAGATGATTCAAGTGATTTTTAAGAGCTTGGAAATTTCCAGTGTCATTTGGAATGGTCAGTCTAACTTTACGGCTAAGAAATAAATCTCCGCGTGAAGTGTATGTGCAAAGCCTAAACACAATAGGGCTTTTTGGGGGGCATTTGTATAGATCTCCTTAAACTAGGGACTCTCCAAGCATCCTTAGGAGCTTTATTTTTTAAGAATGTAAATAGAAGCATATGGACTGACTTCATGGTTGCAAGGTCACAGAACACCTGAATTTAAGTTAATTTTAACTTACTTTTACTTAAAACCGTCATTCAACAATTTCAAGACCTGGGAGGCGACGTAACCGGGTGGGGCCCAATCGTAGACAAGGTGCAACTCCAGTGACAAGGGTTCACGAGTTGAAAAACAGTCATGTGCTGGAACGCGAGGGCTTCTGACTGCCGTGACTGGGTGCGTCTTAGGAGGCCAGCGCCGAAGGCGACCGGGGGGCTTACCATGTTTTGACCATCAGGAAGCATGACTACCAGCTGGGCGTTATGGTCCCATATCATCCTCCAGAAATCTTTGATGGTATGGAGAAGAGGATGCTGGGTGACGATGAATTCACTGCTCTGATAGTAACCCTACGAAACCAAAGAGAAGACAGGAGGAGCCCTGGCACGCGGCCTTAAATGTTCCAAATACGCGTACGAGCGAGGCAGCCTTTCGTAGACGGCGCCTGTCAACAGCAACGTGACTGTTGGAGCCCGTGTGTCCACGGCACGGTCTACACAGCGGGCACAGGACTAGCACGCTCCTTCCCTTAGGTTCCTTCTGCCCCAAGCAGTCACCACACGACAGGAACGGTGACCCCCTCTCTCACAGAGAATTCCACTGAGGCCTGAGAAGTTGAGCGCTGTGCCCACGGCCACCTGGCTGTCACGCCTGGGGGCGACTCAGCAAAGTGCACGCAGACCATGTCCCACTATAGTAGACAGGACGCAAACCCAGAGGGGAGCGTGTGCTTGCCACTTCCCACAAGTCCCAGTGCAAAGTGCCTGAGTCCATGCGCTGACCACGGGGTGCCATCGTGCCCAGACACCCTCTGCGGGAGAGGACCAGGGTGCAGTGGGGACCTGCTGGGAGGCCGGGCCGCTGCACTGGGGACCATCCGCACGCTCAGCCCTGCTCCTGTCCCCGGGCCTCAGTGGCCACCCACACGCACCTCCCTGCTCCCGTGACCCAGACTGCGACAGGCCTGGGCGCAGCACAGCCCCTGCTGCGGCTGCAGGCCCTCGGGTCCTCCCGCATCACGCTCCGGTGGCTGGCCGTGGGCCGTAGCTCAGAAGGCGTCAGAGGATGCTGCTGCTCCGTTGGCCGCGGGCCACGATCCTGGGACGTGGCTTCTACGCCACCTGGGTCTGCAGTCGCCGCTCGGGAGGCCCTGCCCGAGTCGCTCTGGGGACACAAGCTGGCAGGTGGCTTTCGGGGACGTGCCCGACTTACCATGACATAGGACGCGTTGATGTAGTCTGCGCCTTCCCCGCTCGGGGACGAGATGCCGACCCGTGATCTCTCCACTGGAACACAGAACAGTCGTGGTGACCCGCCGCGCCCACAGCTCTGCACCCCCACCCCCCGCGAAGCTCCCCTGCGTGTCCCGAGCTGAGCGCCGACGGTCTGCAAGCTAGTTTTTCTATTATTTTTGCATTTATTAAGAAGCACGTCAGGATCTAGGAGTCCCTTTTTAACAGGCACGTTATCGGACATAATTAGAAAACCACGGAGCGCACGAACTCATCCCAAGATGTACGAATATTGCCAAGTTGCCCCCAAGGCTTCCACTACCGGACAGCGGTGGTTTCTCCATGATGCGGCATAACGTACCGGGGATGATGGAAGAAGTCCTGTTCTTCTCCCTGTTGCATTGCTTTAGGGCTGTAGAATAGTCGCTCTGCTGTATATTTGATTGGCTCAGGAGCTGGAAAAATATAGACTATTTAAGTCACCCAGATACTCACACACACACACACACACACACACACACACACACACACACGTGACCCAACCAAGAAACCAAGGTACGATACTGGTTTTCCAAGAGCCCCTTGCTCTAACTCCCTGGCACACCTGTGTTCCCGGCACCAGGGCTGCTGCGAGAAGCACGGAACGCCCTCCAGTTGGACGTCCACCGCTGGGAGAGGCTTCCCCGCGGCTCCCGCTACAGGTGTGCACCCTCCATGTCTCCCACTGACGTCGCACACCAGAGTTGGGAGAAAGTTGCGTGAACCGTGTGTGTGTCTGTCCTCGTAAATGGATAGGGCTGGATTTCAGTCAGTCTCTTAGTACCCGTTTCACAAACAATCGACTTGCTATTTTTCTATCCCCCCAACTAGTGAACGTTAGGATTATTTCCAATATTCTGCTTTTCTAAACTTTGTAGCCATATGGATATCCCTTGCATATTTCTTAACACCCACACGCGGAATTAGGAGGCATCACCATTTGATTTTCGACAGTCTGATGGATGCAACGTGGTTTTGATTTGCATTTCCTTAATTACTGTGAGATTGTGAATTTTAGCATTCATTAGCCATTTTGATTTCTTCTTTGATGATCGCCTTATTATATTTCTACTTCACTGTCATCGATTAATTTGTAGGAGGTTTTGATGTCTTGAATGTTAGTCTATAATCTGTTTAAAAAGTTGCCAAGGTTTTTGTTCTCTTTAATCACTCAGATGCTCATGATCAGGTCATTTTTTAAGGTTTCGGCAAATTATGTTTTTATTTAAGAAGTCCTTTTCTACCTTGATGTGTTCAAAATATATATTGCTAGTATTTTCTTGTAATAGTTCTAAAACCTTGCTTTCACCTCCAGGTACCTAATATATCCTGAATTAATTTTAGTGTTTGAGGTGGGGTAAGAACCCAATTTTACTTGTTTACACTTTTTTTATGTCTTTGACAGAACTTGCATTTGGTTTTGTTTCGTCTCTGTTTCTATTTAATAACTTTAACTTTCTAGTTAATTTAAGAAAGCTTTAACTTCCTTAAAATTTTTCTGTCTCCCTCTTTGGGTGTACCATGCTTCTCTTCTAACTTTTACATGATATGCCTATTTCATTTGCTTTTTTTTTTTTTAATTCTCAAATATATTTAAGGCTATAACTTTCTTTCCAGATATAACTTCAGTTGTATCGAATACATTGTGCCAAGTAATGCTTCTGTTGACCTTTAATTCTAAAGATTTTATAATTTCCTCTTTAATAGGTCAATTATTTAAAAGAACATTATTATTGTCCAAATACGTGGATTATTTTTGGGACAAGTTTTCATGGTCAATTTCTGATTTTACTATATTAGATTCTGAGACTACAGTAAGGACTGTGCAGAGTCCTTGAAATTAACTCTTCCCCCTCTGGCAGCAATTTGACATCATTATTTTAGAATATGTATACGAGCACACGTGTGCACCGCATGCCCATGCACACACACTCACCTCCTGTGTCACACCGGGAATAGAAGCCACAGAATTTTCCCTTAGTCTCCAGCCTTGGAGCACATATGCTTCCTGCCATACACACCCACTTAGGTGTCCCTGCCTTTGGCCGCAATCCCTCTTTTTTACTGAATCTTACTCCTTTGCACCTTCCCAGGATCTCCTCTCTCTCTCTCTAATAATCTCTCCTCCCCCCACATACCCACTACCATGGATCTCTTTCTATTAGCTTTTTTTTAAATAATCTCTCTTTGATTTAATTTAATTTAATTTAATTTAATTTATTTTATTTTATTTTATTTTATTTTAAGTCAACGCTATTCCCAACATGGGGCTCAAACTCATGGCCTGAAGATAAAGAATCGCATGCTCTACTGACTGTGCCACGCAGGTGCCTCACTTTCTAATAGTCTTTAAACAAACTCAGATGCCTCTCATTAAAACATAAAAAAAAAATACATAAACCAAAAAATATCTCTTTCCTTCCCACTTGAAGTTTCCCTCTGGCTACCCTTGTCATTCTCTTCGGAGTCAAAAACAGCTTAAATTCCACATATGAGTGAGATCGTAGGATGTAGCTCAGAGAGTTTAAGTCATTTGGCCAAAGCTGTAAAGCCAGCAAGGAGCAGAGTCTGAATTCTAATCTAAAATTACTGGTAAACAAAGAACATTTTCTTTTCGTTACACCACTACATTTATAGCTTGAACTAATTTGATTTAGTTGTTCAATGACTTTAGAGACTAGTCAAATCTTTCACAAATGATAGGCCTATTTATAGACCCACCTCAAAGAAGTAGCCTGAATTAGAACATATCCAATCCTCTTGGCAAGGTACATTTTAACTTTGTTTTACAAAAGAATGAGCCTGTGTTTTGTAGAAGACAAAAGATTGGCTAAAGCAAAATCTATTTGCCTCATGGGATAAGCACGGGAACTCAAAAGCAAAAGGGAAGAATAAAGTAATGGTATAAATATAAAAAAAATCATGTTTATATTCTAGTATCAAACACAAAAGCCTGCGTGTGGTGTCCGATACACACTTGTTTTCTTTTTAAAATGAGATATAACTGACATATCACATTACGGTAATTCCGGGTGTACATCGTAATGATTTGATGTCTGTGTATATCGCAAAATAGTCACAATAGGTCTAGTTAACATTACTCACCACACACAGTCATGAAATTTCTTTCTAATGATGGGAACTTTTAAGATCTTAGCAACTTTCAAATATGCAATACAGTATCATGAACGATAGTCACCATGCTGTACGTTATAACCCTACGCCTACTGATTTTATAACTGGAAGTTTGCATATCTTGACCCTCTTCACCCATTTGGCCCACCCCCTGCCCTCTGCCTCTGGCGACCATCAATCGGTTCTCTCCATCTATAAACTTGATTTTTTAAAAAAATTCCACATATAAGTGGTATCATACAGTGTTCGTCTTTTTCTGTCTTTATTTATTTCATGGAGTTCTTTCTGACCTACTTCACTTGCCATAAAGCCCTCTAGGTTGACCCATGTTGCTGCAAATGGCAAGATCTCATTCAGTTTTGTGGCTGAATAATATTCCATGGAATACATACACCACATTTTCTTTATCTAGTCATCCTTCAATGGACACTTAGGTTGTTCCCCTAAATCATGCTGCAAATGAACGTAAGAGTGCAGATGTCTTTTTGAGTTAGCATTTTTGTTTCCTGCAGATAAATACCAGGACATGTAATTTATTTCAAAGAATCGTTCCTATAGATAAACTCGAATGGCTAATGTGTTATAGGACCGTGCAGGCGCGCGCACACACACACGCAACCCTCTACCTCCCTACTTAACACATACAGAGTGAAATGTCCCTCCCTTCGCTAAGATTCTGGCCCCATAACTTATCCATCCATTTTGATCCTGGGTTATCTAGTCTAAGCCATATCAATTCTTTTATGCAGTCATGTGGGCATAAGTCATGCTGAAATGAGAATTCTGTTGAAAATGAGTAATGCTTACGTATTTTTTAATTTAGAAAAAAAAGCTATCCTAACAACCTAATGTTGATGTTTTATACTCGTTTATTGTCTATTTCTGGGAGCCAAGCAGCATACTTTTTTCTTTCTTTAGTGTTCTGTTATCACTCAGATAAGCTCTGCTGAATAAAGACATTTATGTCTTCCCGACGGCAGGTTCCAAGCGCAGCATTCACCCCTAATCTTTCTCTTACTCCTCCAAAGGCACAAAAGGTGCTGACTGAGAAGGCAAAAAATCAGAAGGAATTTGTAGTGACTAACATCTTTTATGTGGTAGCCTGGGGAGAAGAGGAAAAAAACACCCTGCAATTTCAAGGTTTGTTAACTCTCCTGGGTTTTTCCAGGGTCTTTCCCATTTTCCCTAGATAGTCCTTCTTCAGAAATGGGCCCCGTTTCTTTAGGAATCCCGGGAAGCAAGAGGGTAGGACAGGCCTACGGGGGAGTGAATAACACAGCCTCCATTCCTTGGGAAAGCCACAGCTGTGCGCCTCTCCCTCGCTGCAGGGCCCGGGAAGATCTGCTTTCTGAATTCTGTGCTGACTGATTTCTGGAAGTCAGAGAACTAGGGTTGTGGGAGGTATGATATTGAACAAAACACACTCCCTGCTCCAGTTCACTGCCTCGTGATAAGGTGGGTGGGAGAGGCTGGGGTTGGAGAGCTATTGTTCTGGTGTAGCCTCTTCTCTAGTCCAGGGCCTTCAAGTGAGACAGATTTTTCCACAGAGTAGCATCAACAGCCTGAGCCGGAGCACTCATCGTCAAGTGGTCTGGTTTTCTCAAAGGAAAAAGAGCACTTAGGCCGTCTGTATTATGAGGTCTGCTTGCCCCTGTTCCGCTCCGTGCCCCCCTTTCCTGGACCAAGTCTGCATTTGCAAACATTAATCTAGAGTTCTTGAGAACTTTCCTTCTTGTTCCTCAAAATTAAGATTCTCCTTGAGATTTACCACGTGGCTTTGGTGCCCACTATAGAGAACAATCCAAAGCCACTGTACCAGTGGAGCTCTGAACCCATCCACCTGGCCTTGTCGACTCAACCGAGGAGACGTGGGAACACTGAATTGTGTGGTGACATCCAAGAGGCTTCCAAGAGAACTCACCTTGAATTGTTTCTCTAGCTTTGTTTTGCCAGTTGGTCCAGGAATGAGGAGCGCGTTGACATAGGCATGAATGTGGCTGTCTGGCACCTCGGTCTCCTTACTGAGTATGGCCTCGACCAGAGCATCGTGAATGAAAACATACTGCTCCTGGCAATGACAATAGGGGACATTATTTCAGGTTTCCTTTATATATGTCTAAGAACAAAAGTAAGAGTCTTCACTGATGGACAAAACCAGTTTTACATAATGGCGGAGGCGGACCCGCTAAAGATGGCCTCCTGGCCCAGGCAGGAAATCAGATGTAGGAAAGAAGGCGCGGTCGGGAGAGAATGCAGCTCTTCTTGTCCCTCACCTCTCTACTCCCAACGTGTTGACATTTGGGGGTAAGAGGCAAAGCGACACGCTCATCCTTCAAACCTGTGACCCGCTTCTGTGTATTTTGCATGAGGGCTTTCCTGGCTCTTCTACTTCTCATGGCTCTTCTTCCATCCATTTCAATTCTCCTTTTAGTCAGTCATATACAACTTAGCACAATTTTACATATAGCTTTTAATGGCCGTCTTCTGGTTCCTGTATGGGACTCTTCCCTTGTCTAATCTGACTAGTGTGTCATTTCCCTCATGGCATGGTGTGGCTGCATGGCATGGTGTGGCTGCATGGCATGGTGTGGTTCCATGGCATGGTGTGGCTGCATGGCATGATGTGGTTCCATGGCATGGTGTAGCTGCATGGCATGGTGTGGCTGCATGGCATGGTGTGGTTCCATGGCATGGTGTAGCTGCATGGCATGGTGTGGCTGCATGGCATGGTGTGGCTCCGTGGCATGGTGTGGCTGCGTGGCATGGTGTGGTTGCGTGGCATGGTGTGGCTCCGTGGCATGGTGTGGCTCCGTGGCATGGTGTGGTTTGATTTTCCCCCACATGGCCACATGTCTCTGACTGCTCTCAGGTTGCCATCCATAGTTTGCAACTTAAATTCATTTTTATTTAGAAAGAGGAGGGAAAAAATACAGATATGCAGACTTCGTCCGTGTCATGTAAACTGCGTATGATAAACTCTATGGGCTTAAAAATGGGATATAATTCGAGCATAATTCATACTTCTAAAATATGAAGATGAATGCATTTATTCACTATATGCAGAGAGACCCGAGGTGTTTGCTAGCTGGGATGGGTGCTGCCCAATTCACTGACTCTTTTTTTTGAATCTTCTCTGTCATCAGTGTCATTTCAAAGATATGGCCACAGATAGACAAAATGTAGCTGGTCCATCTAGGACTTCTAATGCAGTTACCTGGTGTTGTGTGTGGAATTGTATCCTCCCAAAAGACACGCCGAAGCCCTAAGCACCCCTGACCAGTACCTGAGAACATGACCGTAGTTGTAAATAAGGTCACTGTGGAGGTCACTAGTCAAGATGAGGTGGTGGCTTTCATTCTTCTAAGAAAAGGAAATTTGGACACAGACAGAGAAGACAGCTGTGTGAAGATGGAAGAGACTGAAGGAAGGCTGCTTCATCTGCAGACCATGCAGGGCTCCCCAAAACTCAGACAAAGCAGGATCCTCCTCTAGAGGATCCAGGGGCAGCACGGCTCCACCAATACCTTGATTTTGGACTTTCATCCTCCAGAACTATAAGGCAGGATGTGTCTGTTCTCTCTCTCTCTCTCTCTTTTAAAATTAATTTATGTATTCCTGAGAGGCACAGAGAGAGAGGCAGAGAGCCAGGCAGGGGGAGAAGCAGGCTCCCCGCGGGGAGCCCGATGCAGGACTCGATCCCAGGATCACGCCGGGGGCCGAAGGCAGGTGCTCAACCGCTGAGCCCCCCAGGTGCCCCACGTCTGCGTTCTTTGGAGCCACCCAGTTGGTAGCACTTTCAGACGGCGGCCCTGTGACACCAATCAACCTGGTGAAACAAAGTCTGGTGCTCCCAGTGCCAGCATCTTAGTGGCATCTCCAAGCCTTAGGGCAGTCAAAGTATCCTTCTCAGTGGGGGAGGGAGAGAAGCAGCAACCAAGCGCACCCTTCTCATACCTCAGTTTGCACCAAATAATTTCTTTGTGAACGAATGTGTTTCAAGAAGCCAAATATGTTGACGGTCCCTTCCTGTTGAATTTGCTGCAACATACTGTCCAGCACGATGTACGTGCCTGTTCTTCCAACCCCAGCGCTGAAGGGGGACACAAAAAGAGAACCGTTTCAACGTCAAGGATTAGATGAACCTGAAGTTGGGTCACTCCTGGCTATCTCGTAAGTGAAAATAATTCTCTCCCCCAAGTGACTGAGCCACATGAGAAATAATTTAGCAAATCCCAAACCAAACAGGTTAGGTGTTGAGTACAATGCTTCAAGTAACAAACTGGTTGCCTTTTAATTTTTGGCCACAGGGCAAACTGCAAAACAACCTGTTTCTGGGGGGAGATTTTTAATTCATTAACTAGAGATCTTTAAATCTTCAATAATCGTATTTGTTATTCATCATACGTGATACAGAATGAAGACGTTCTGCACCCGAGCATAGCAAGTAGACATTTAATCGGAGAAAAATGAAAACATCAGCTTCAGCCAACTCTGAGAATAAAAGGTCCTGGGTCTGTATTGTCAGGTAGACATGTTTGTGTAAAGGTTTTCACATTAATTGGAAAAAGAATTTGATAAGGCTTTCAGCTGAAAATATCATTTCAGCGAGCCGCGAGGAATAAAGCCTACCTTCAGTCATTTCTAAAGGGCCATTATCTATTGACTTCTTCAAAGCCTCTACCGGAGGAACGGATTCATAGGCAGGGATTCTTTTCAAATGCTCTGACAAGTAGGAAGTGCTAGAGTGGAAAATTAGCACCTGCTCCTCACAATACCCGGGTCCTTCTCCATTTGCTCAGAAACAATCCCTGACCTTCAGAGCTCTTTTTCTTGCATTTTCCTGTTTCTCTCAGCTTATCGTCAGGCTAACAGATGAAAAACCTCAAGATAGGTCTCTCAAACTTTGTCTGAGGATAACTCCTGAGATAGATAATTAGAATGTGTCAGATAAGCTGTATATCAAAGGAAAACACTTGCCTCTGTAAAAACACAGACGGGCTCTGACACAAATACCGTCCACAGAAATCAGCCTGATTTGTGTGGTCCTAAAGCGTGGCACACACTCAGCGCTCAGTGCATGTTAACTGCTATTTCTCTTTTAACTGAACAAAACAGGAGGTTAAAACCTCTGACACAGTTTTTTTCTCTTTCTTTGAAATACCATTATTTCTCTTCATCAAATTAGTCTTGGAAATAAAGTAACTGGGTAACGACGAGTTGATAACACCTTAACCTATTAGACAGAACTTGGGAAAATGAGAAAACAAGCTTGATCCCAAGCTGTTAAAAACATCTTAAAAAAAAATCTTAAAAGCAGTTCACCAAACTCGTCACCGTCTGGGCGCGTTCGTTTCTCTAACATAAACCTGACGTAGTAACGGCGCGAGAGGCCCTAACTCCCAGGGACCGGGTATGTCCCACGCACTTTGGTCCCAGAATAAATGTTTAATGACGAAACACGTTTCAAAAGCTAAAATCCAACTCAACAGTGAAACAGAGTAAGAAACACCATGAACATCCCCGGTGCTTGGGAATCCTTGGCGACGGCGCCCCGAGTCTGCCGCATGCATTTCCGAGCGGTCAAGACGTTGGGGTTCGGGCATGTAGTCTCGCTCCCCCCACGCCACAGAGTCACGCCAGCTCTGGCAAAGCCCTTGTTCCAGGGACTCCCTCCTGGGTAGCAGAAGCCATGCTGTGGGTTCAGGAACCCGTGCCTGGGACTCACCTGCAGTGGACGACGACAGGCCCCACGGCGTGGCGCTTGGCGTGGGCCGCCTTCCGCACAAAGGTCAGCACAGGCAGCGAGTACTCCGGCACCCCCATGTCGGGCCACTGGGTGTAGTGGTACTGGGTGACCACACGCCCGCTGGGTCTTCCCTTCTGGGAGCCCTGGGAGACAACACAACAGGACACGCACGAGTGCGCTCGCGTGGAAACACACAGGCACACACAGGTCCTTACCACCGACTCGAGTTCCGTGGCCCATAATGAGGCATAAAAACACACTGTGGCTTGTGACAGTTAATTTCATGTGTTCATCTGGCGAGGCTACGGTGCTTGGTCGTTCGGAAACACCAGCCCTGCCAGATGTTCCTGTCAAGGTGGGTTTTTTTGTTTTTAAGAGATTTTATTTTCTTAAATCATCTCTACACCCAACATGGGGTTCAAACTCACAACCCTGAGATCAAGAGTTGCATGCTCTACTGACTGAGCAGGCCAGGTGCCCCCCGCTCCCCGTTGGGGTATATATATATATTTTTTTTTTTTTTTGGTGTGATTGACATTTAAATTAGTAGATTTCGAGTAAAGCAGATCACACTCCATGATGTCAGCAGACCTCATCCAATTAACTGAAGGCCTTAAGAATAAAGACTGAGCTTTCCTCAAGAAGGAATTCTTGTGACTAGAACATAAAAACTTTGCTTGGATTTCAAACATGGAGTCAATTCCTTAAAAAATTTCCCTCTTGGGGCGCCTGGGTGGCTCAGTCAGTTGAGCGACTGACTCTTGGTTTCAGCTCAGGGTTGTGGGTTCGAGCCCTGCATTGGGCTCCACACTCAAGGCCGAGTCCTTTTGTGATTCTCTCCCTTTGCCCTTCCTCTCGGTCTGTGCTCTCTCTCTCTCTCTCAAATAAATAAAATCTTAAAAAAAAATTCTTTTTCTTTTGATGTCAACCACACACATGTGCACACATTGCTCTTGAGAACGCTGATTTATACGTCAGTGCTTTATTTTTTTTCCTGCCTTATTTCAAGCTCCACTATTTTTAGTTAGATGCGCAGTTATCACATGGGGCAGGAACTTTCATTTGTGCATCACATCATCCACTGCACCTGCTGGCACCATGACCAATCTGGCTCCAGGGCCATGGCTGGCATTTAGAGACTTAGCAGGAGCCTTTGGGGATGAGCGTGGTTGTGATAAGAACTCTTGATGCCTTCAAAGATCTCTATTTTCAGCCTGTTTTGGTTGTACCACCCACTCACTTACAAAAAGACCAGATGTATCACTTGACTGAGGATGTCCTCCATGTGTGGACTCACCTTTTTTATCTTTGTGTTTCTTAGAGTAAAACTCCTCACAGTATAATAGGCCAGCATTTGAACACTCTTCTGAGTGACCAGAAAGTTCCCGTACTCTTCACTACCATCAGCAGGCCAGTACTGGTCACATTTTCTCTGCAGAAGACAAAGTAAAGATGCTATTTCCGTATTTCAAATGTTTGATGTGAGAGTTGTCCCTGGAATCAGGAGAGGTCTAGCCCTGGGACACAGACGGGCTCCGTCACTCTTCCAAACATTTTCTTTTCTTTCTACGGGATTGCGAGTAGTTTAGAGGAGCCTGCAGAGCCGAGAAACCTGAAAGGATCTGACCCAAACTCCCCCTTTCAGATGAGGAAAGAGAGGCCAGATGTACTGAGTCACCACAAAGCTGGACTAGAATCCAGCTCCCATGAATTAAAATGTTTCACTCTCCCTTGCTTTGCAGTGAAGCCCACTGCAAAGGGGCTCATTACTCTTTTTTTTGGGGGGGGCCTCATTACTCTTTTCCTCACAGCATGAAGAATGCATTTAAGCAGCCAACAGCTCGGGGGCACCTGGGTGGTTCAGTCACTTCAGTGTCTGACTCGACTGCAGCTCAGGTCACGATGGCAGGGTCCTGGGATCGGGCCCCACATTGGGCTCCATGGTCAGTGGAGGGTCTGCTTGAGGATTCTCACTCTCTCCTCACCTCCTTCTCTCTCTTTTTTTCCCTACGAATAAATAAATATTTAGGGGCACCTGGGTGACTCAGTGATTGAGCCTCTGCCTTTGGCTCAGGGCATGACCCCGGGTCTGGGGACCGAGTCCCACATCAGGCTCCCTGCATGGAGCCTGCTTCTCCCTCTGCCTGGGTCTCTGCCTCTCTCTCTCTCTGTGTCTCTCATGAATACATAAATAAAATCTTAAAAAAAAAAGAAATGAATTTCTATAAATGAATAAATATTTTTTAAAAATCGCAGATAACGTGATTTACAGTGAAACTGTGTGACCTGTGACCTACAGCATCAGGCTTCCCATAGCCGTCCTCCACAGAGGAGGGATCCCGATTAGGCTTCAGGACTGCTGCTCCTTCCTGATGTTGAGATGTTGAGCCTATTAAACGCACCTCACAGCACTTCTGATGACTACTTGGGGGATGAGAACGCAGATCACGACCTACGTACCCTTCCTTTCTCCACGAGGTTTGTTATCATGACGATCACCTCCACGTTATGCTCCCATATCATTCTCCAGAAGTCTTCAGCAGTGGACTTCAGCGGGCCTTGGGCAGCAATGTAAGCTTTTGGTCGGTTGTAGCCCTGAAGAAACAAGTGACACACATTTTTTTTTTCCTAAATTGCTAATCTTATGCCATTTTTATTGTACAATAGTGAGTTTTTAAGGTCAGTGCATGTTTTCCATAAAAGAAAAACAATAAAAAATAATCCTGCGATGGTGGAGAAACTTGGCAGTGTCAGCAACAACAATTCTCTAACTATAATCTTTGGGGGGAAAAAAGTTCTCTCTGCTTCAATCCAGACGCTATTCTCTGCATCTTCAGTCCAAGTACACTTGATCTATTTACTATGGACTTTCACTGCGCTGCTTTGAAATGTTTTTGAGGCACTGGGGCTCAGCTGTGTATGACAGTGGGGAAGCCTCTGGTGTCGTCTCCCTCCCCAGCCCCGGGGGTACCAGCAATGCTAATCACGAACAGCTATCCTGCCCTGGGCACCTGCTGTTACCCAAGATGCTCTATGAACATTTACCCAAATCCTTGCAAAATGGAAGCCTCATCCTTGGTCTAGAGATGGGGAGAAGCTCATGGGAGTTAAGTGGCTCTCCAACCTTTCGTGGCCACCCAGTGACAGGGCTGGGATTCAAAATCAGTTCTAACTCCAAAGCCCATGTTGGATGCGACATACACGCTGCCTCCTTTGGAGCACGAAGTGGCTGCCTGTGGCAACCCCCTGGATAGGTACACTCGGTGCTCACTTCTGCGAACTAACTGTTCCACACAGCATAACCTGCAGGCAGCTACACGGCGAGGTGTAACTGAACTCCACGGACACTCAGCTGACCACAGTGAAAAACCAGTCAATTAGACCGTGGGCTGTGGGGAGCTCTAATGAGTCCCACACGGCTGGGGACCCTGAGGTGTGTGCCAGAGATGACGAGGCCGATAGCTGGACTAGGAATCACGTGTTTGCCTTTTAGTCAGGACGGCCTTGGGAATCCTTCAGTCAGGATTTATGGATCATCTGCTACCCATACAATATTGGGCGAGGAACTGTAGAGCATTCAAAATGAGCAGGAGTCCAGTCCCTCACATTTCAGGAGCTCCAAACCTGTCCAAGTGCGTATACACCATCCCCCTTGAACGTGCATTTCCAACCCGAAATACCTTTCTCACCCACGAGAGAAACCAAGTTCAAGGACTTGCATGTTACTCAATCTGAAATCCTTTAGCCATGGGAGGTCCAACTGCTGATTCATATTATCTACCATATAACATGTATTAAGCACTATATAAGTACAGTACAGTGGCCTAATAAATTCCTAGTCTAATCTCCATGAACGTTTCAATTGGAGCATGCTTACATCGACATAATTGGCATTGATGTAATCAGTCAGCTTGCCATCTTTCTCAGCAAGTTGTGCAAGTTTAACCCTACTATGATCATCTGTAATAAAGAAAAGAGAAGATGTCACTATGGCATGGCCTAGTTTTCAGCATAAAGGTCATTTATATTTACATAATGATACATCAAATACAATCAAAATAAGTGCAAAAATAATTTACTTTTAGGAGTCTTTATGGGGATACAGAGATGACAAAGGTAAATACAACAAGGGCCCCGGCCTTCAACAAGTTGTCTAACGCACACGATGAGCGTGGACACATACACAGAAAGGAATGTTCAGGTGTCAAGGGAGGTGCAAAGTATGAGGGGGGACTGGAAGGCAGAGATTGTGTTGGTTTGGGATGATAATAAACATCTTCATGAAGGTTGGAAGGGGACACTGGCAACTCAGATGGGTTTCTAGAGATGGATCTTAGGGCTGTGAACGGTGGAGAGCCACTGAAAGGGAGAGAGGAGTGTTGGGGGCGTCTTAGAAAGCTAAGGAAGGATGGCAGTGTATGTCCTCTGAACAGGAGGCTGTGGGGAAGAGAAAGCGGAGAGGGGAGGAGAAGGGACCTAGGACATCTCTGTGTAGGGTTACAGCAAGTAGCTCTCTCAGGGACAAGCTCGAAGTGCTGCTACTGCATAGTGAGGCTGGAGAAGGGCTGCCCAAGAACAGGGGGTGTGGGTCCCACACTGTCTATTTAAAGGGGTGAAAACCATGGTAACTTAGGCATGGTCTCCTGTGGCAATTAAAATACACAGAAATGAGGACTCTGAGATGAACTTCAGTTCTACAGAGAAATTATATGTATTTGGAGGAATGACATAATAAGAAAGGGAAGTCTTACTAGAAGGAAAACCGAGAATTTCAAGGAGCAGAATGTATTTATTGTTTTCAAGGATGAAGAAGTGAATACAAAAAAAAAAAAAGTGGATACAGTTCAAACCATGACAGTAGAGAGATATCCTGGGATATTACTGCTTCTGGGACAACAGGAGCTCACAAAGTGCAGGGAATGTACCCAGAAATAGATGCATGGCAATGGAAGGATAGGTTTGATGCCAGGCTGACATTTTTGTTTTTTTTTTTTTTTTTGTATTTTGGTTCTAATATTTTTAGAAGGATGTTACTGGGTAAATTTTCTGGATTGTTTTACTTCATTTCTACAGTAGGATTGTTATTATTGATATGCCAGGTTATTTCAGAGATTAAATGGAATCATGTGTTTATGGGGCCAGGCACATAGAAGGTGCACAACAAATGTTAATCTCCATCCCCCTCTTAATTACTGGGTAGGTGTTTTCTATTTGGCTTGTAGTGCGAATAGTTTAACAACTTCACCCTGTCCAAGAAGCAGCTGAATTTTTATGTGCAGCCAGGATAGTTACTTCAGTTGAGGAAGACAAAGATGAAGCAGAACGTCCTCCTTAAACCTTCTAATAGAAGTTTGTGTCAGCCCTGTGCAAAGGAAGTAGCATTTATCCAAACTATTTAAGGAAATGTGACAATAAAAGGATTAGTATTCAAAATACATAAAGAACTACAACTCAACATTGAAAAAAAATCCAATTAAAAAATGGGCTGACGGCATGAACAGACACTTTTTTCCAAAGAAGACATCCGGATGGCCAACAGTCACATGGAAAGGTGCTCGACATTCCTCATCATCGTGGAAATGCCAACCAAAACCACAATGAGACACCACCTGACACCTGTCAGAATGGTTAAAATCAATAACACAAGAAACAACAGGTGTTGGCGAGGATGTGGAGGGAGGGGAGCCCTCTTACACTGTTGGTGGGGATGCAAACTGGTCCAGCTAAGCTGGAAAACAGTGTGGAGGGTCCTCAAATAGAACTACCCTGTGACTCAGCAATTGTACTACTGGGTATTTACCCAAAGATACAAAAATACGAATGCAAAGGGGTACATGCACCCTGATGTTTACAGCAGCATTATTTACAGTAGCCAAACTATGGACACAGCCCAAGTGGCCATCAACTGAATAAACAAAAAATGGTATATAGATATAGATACATTACTCAGCCATGAAAGAGAATGAAATCTCGCCATTTGTAAAGACATAGATGGAGCTAAAGTATTATGCAAAGTGAAATAAGTCAGTCAGAGAAAGACAAATACATACGATTTCACTCGTATGTGGAATATAAGAAAGAAAACAATGAGCAAAGGAAAAAAAGAGAGAAGCGCAAACCCAGAAACAGACTCTTAACTACAGGAACACACTGATGACTAAGGGGGTGAGGGTTGGGGGGTGGGAGGGGCGAAACATTGGGTGGGGATTAAGGAGCGCCCTTGTGAGGAGCACTGTGGTGTATGGGGGTGTCGACTTACTGTACTGTACGCCTGAAACTGACATTACACTGTATGTTAACTCACTGGAACGTAAACCAAAAAGTCTAAAGGAAAAAAAAAGGAGTGCGGTTTCATTGGCTTCCGGAAACTAGAATGGTGCCCGAACTTAAACAACCAAGCTGGTAATACCATGCTCATAGGATCCAGGGAGGCCCACTGAATACTTAAGGAAGGAGAGGAGAATAAGTTTTGGGGGAGGGGATGTAGATGGATTTCAAGAGATGGAGGAGAATATAAAGGAAAACCAGAGGGGCCATATGTGTAAACAGGAGATGCAGTACGAAGATGTAAGAAAGACGGTAATTTCATAGGAAAAAATTAGGTAAATGTGCATTAAACAAGAGACAGGTAGCTGCTCATTTAGAAAAAAAAAAGACAACAGCTAAGAAAATAAAGGGAAAGAGGAATAAAAAACAATCCAACTAGCCATAAGACCCCAGGAAGAATGGCAAGAAAGACACGAAAAGGCTAGATGGAAAAATAAAAGTCTAAAGGAAATCTCATTTGGTCAATAAATTCACCCAGAAGTAAACAGATCTCAAGTGAAAATAGGACCGGGGATGTAAATAATGACAGATTTGCAGCCCATGGGGCTTGAAGGAAGGCCAGGAGTGAATGTGAGCTTCTTTTGTTTAAAGGGAACCTATGGTTAATTGTAGGATGCGTAAGTTAGAGGAATATATGCTCTGGGCCACCTAACAGCAGCCCCACTCCCCGGTACCCAGGGCCTGAGCCAGCCACACCGAGGTCAGCAAGCCCAGTGACAGCAAGGTCAGGGCCGAGGAAGGACATACTCACAGGCAACGATATTTATGTACCGGTTCTTGTGCTTATTGTCGGGGTGATTGGAGCTGTCTGCTGTAATGCCTAAATCAACAGTACAGCTCTGCACCTCCTGTAAAGAAATTTACGTACGACATTTTAACACATACCCTTTCAAACCAAGTGCCTTAAAAATATAACATAAAAGACAAAACAAATTAGTCTATCCAAAAAAAAATTTTTTTTTTTTTTTTTACATGTTACAACTATTTCTTGGCTAAAAGAAAATGCAGTGAAATAATGCCTTACCTGGTAAAACTCTTTCAGTGTCTAATGAGGGAATGAATGCCAAAAAAGTAAAGAAATCAAATTCCACAGCACACGACAAATGAGAAAAAAAAGCGTTCATATTAGGTTTACAATGGAAAACTATGATCATGCAATAAATACATTTGTCAAATAGTAACAAAACAGAATGTTTCAAACAGTTGCATGCACATCAAAACTTCCAACAATTTGGAACCTTAAAATTATGTAAAAGGAAAAAAAAATAACTTTTAAAAGGGGACAGTGGTATAATAATACGAATATAAAAATGCAGATGAGAAAAACCATCTATTTGATGACACGTTTTCTTGTATTAGATTTGCTAATATCCAAATATAATTTTATTTGACCACTATAGCACTATTTGAAACTCTAAATTAGTGACACATTTTTTTTATTTGTTTAGAGTAATTTTAAAGAGTAAACAGCTTCCTATTAGGTGGTTTGTAACAGATTTAGGGCTATCAGAGCATTAACAATTCTAAGATTTTTTTTTTTATCACATATACTGTATCATTTTGAAACAAAATTTAGACAGCATTACTTTCAACATATTTAACTAGCAGATTTCTTTTTAATTTAAACTTTGATGGGTACAAAAATTATTCTGCCAATTATCTTTTAAAATGAATTAAAATCCTTTTCAGAGATGTTTTCTAAGTACATTAGGTAGGAACTTACAATTATTTAATATAAGATAATAACATGAAAGCTTTATACTTTTTGAGAAAGTGTATAACCCAAATACGAATCTGACTCATCAGCAAATGGCCCAGCCTCCCGCAGTAAGTTTTTAAGGCCTCTTTTGCAGTAAGCCATTCTGACTCTAGATCTATACACAATTTAATATCTGAACCACTTAAAAGGCATAGCATTATTAGTTATTAAGCTAATTACTAAGTTAATGAAACATTTTCTTGAATCAGACTGTGAGTTAAAAGCAATGGAATTAAGAATACACATTTTTACATGAGGTTATTTTATTAATTTAATTATCATGAGCTGGCTTAACATTCTTGAAAATGATTTTATAATCATAAACACTACAAATCTGCCTTTGTGCATATGCTATAAGCAACTTTTATTATAAATTGTCTATTTTTTCTTGTGGTTTTTAACATTTGGGAAACGAGCCCCATCCTCGTCATATTCTCCCTCTTTCAATAACAATTTTGTTTGATGGGAGTCTGATAGTTTCTGTGAGCTAACGTAGTACCACCTCCCCTCTAACCTCTATTCTGGTAAGAAACAAATAATTTGGTGTTTTAAATATATAATTCTTTATATTATTCCACCTAGTATTACCTCATACTGCTTTCTATGATTTCAATGACTTAGATTTCTTTTAAGATTAAGTGAATTGGCTTCTATTATTTTTAATTTAGCGAAAACACATCACATTTCACTTCTATTTCTTTTGATTTCTTAAAGCTTTCTAATTTATGGCATTTTCCTTCCCTAAATACATCTTAGCTGATGTGACTCCTGGGAAGCAGGAGTCACAAGGTGCAATGGGGAAAGTGGGCCACCCTCTGCTCAGGATCAGAGCTCAAGGTGCTTCAAACAAGGAGGTCCATAGAGCACTTCCGGAGAGTGGGGATTATTCTAAGAGGGGAGACAGAAAAGTAATGTGATGTTTCCTAGAGCAGAGGGATTAGAGGGGAGGCTAAAGATCCCTTGCTTGCTGGAACGAAAAGTATGTTTTAATTTTTATTATTTCTATTTTTTAATTCTTTTTTTAAAATTTAAATTCAATTTACCAGCATAGAAAATAGAATTTAAGTTAAAAAAAATTACAGACCTAGGTTTGAATCCCAGTCCTGCCATTTTTAAAAATTAATTATTTAAATCGAACTATAATTAACATGCAGTGTTATATTAGTTTCAGATGTACAGTATAATGATTCAATAATTCTACACATTACTCGATGCTCATGGTAAGTGTCTCAGCTCTGCTATTTAGGGGTTGTTAACTGACTTCTGTGGAAGTTGATTTCGTCAGTAATATGAACAGAAATAAAAACAAATAACTTCCAGAGTTGGGTAAAGATTGAATGTAGAAGCATTTAGTCCAATGACCGGCATGTTAGGGAGTGCTCAATACTGGTCAACTTTATTTTTTTGCAGTTGTCATTGTTAACTCTAACTTATTTTGAAAACTCTGTTTAACCGATAGTTTAGGGGGCCATGGTAAATTTGCAGCAAATTTCTCTGCCTCTTCTACGAGTATTTTATGGATATTACTAGAAACATTTTTAGTGATTGTGCAGTTCAAATGTTTTTTAGAATTGCATATTTTCTTGAGGAGAAGATAGGACTTTACCTTGTTTAATATTTATTAGACCTTGTATAATAAATGCTTCTGCATTTACACTGGTATAATACTTACAACTAAGAGTTTATATGTACTTTGGTTGAAAATTATGAAATTTAGTAGTTTAGTATAATTTATATAATTTAGAAAATTAAAAGGAATCAGTGTTACTAATTCAGATTAAAATAATAATACTGGAATTCTGTACTTCATGGGAGAAAATTAACAATGTTTTTTTCTACGAGTACCACTTGGTTTTTAAAATGGGAAACCAATTTTCTAAATTATATGATAACCATAACACATCTCCTAACACATAAATGATTACAGAACTAATAATATTCTTCCTAGAAGTGAAAATGGTTTCAATGTCTTTAGGTCAAGAAATAGCCTACCGCTGAATCTTTTAAATTTGCTATTTTCCATATAATTTAAAATAGACATATTAAAATCATACCTCAAATTCTTCAGTAAACCCACTACTTGCATGTAAGTCTGCAACATGCTTTGGAAAGTGCTTTATTGGAATTGCCCCAACATCATCTAAGTAAAAAAAAAAAAAATTAGTTCGCAAAGGATAATTCGTCAGAAAGGAATATGCTTGTCATTTATAAAGATTTATAAAATGCCTTCTTCTAAAACAACTTCAAAGTTTAATTATTTCTACATTCCTGAGGGAACCGCAGCTTCCAATGAAACATCAAGCAACGATCAATTTTCTCCAAATTTACTGTCAATCATCATTTGCATTTCACAACTCTGCTTTGATCATGAATCGCTTTTCCTTTCATACTTTAAGAAATAAGAATTAATTTTTGATGTTAAATAATGAATGCCACCAAAGCCTCATGTCTTATCAATGGACTCCATCTTTTTGTGGGTGATTTTCTTTAACATGAATAGAAGTTGTAATTTACATTAACACATTTAACACGAATGTGATTTCTGGGTAAAAAAAATGCAGAAATAATATATTTTCAATTCTACCCCGAACTAAACATAATATAAAGCGTAATTTTAGTTTCATAAAATTACAGTTTAATGTTTTACAGTTAGTCAGATGTTTACATTTGAAAACATTTTTCCTTCTCTATAAATAATAGAAAACATTGATATGCAGACTATTCATTAAGGATAATGTCAAAAACCTTTGGGACTTTTAATATGTAAAATTTCAAGAACTCTAACTTGAAAATATGCTATGTAAACAAAGTCATTGGATCTGTTAATTAATTGTGAAGGGGCCAAATTATTTTAACTGGCTCTGTTTTTTCCCCCCTCTAGAAAGACTTTCTTAGATTAAACATATCACTAGTTCACAGTATGCAATTTCACAAGTGATTTCTTTGACAAGGAAACATCAAACACATTTCACGAGAAACACTTATTTACATCAACAGATGTTCAGCATCTAGGCCATTTAATATTTTTAAGCTTCAGTTACCAAGAATTTGTCGATTTTTTTGAAAAGTAGAATCCATCTGTTCTCTCTTTTAGATGAGTGTACCTGAATACTAAAATTGAATTAGCCAGTTAAGCTTGAGAAGCACTAAACAAAGGTGTAATCCTGCCTTCACATCTACAGAAGGATCTTGCCTGGAAGGAGCGTTTATAATTAGACAAGAAAACAGAAATAACTTGTCACGTCTAAGTCATTAGCTCTTCCCGTAACGGTCCCTCAAGCCCATAGATGCCGCCTGCACAGCTAACCTCTTTTCACGACCAAACTGACTACTTTCTATTTCCAGTCATGTGTTTTGGTCATTTCTTTCACAAACTGGTCTGCAAGTAAGTGAGACCAACATATCCTTTTAATTCCCTATGTTCTGTGGAAAGGCAGGTATCTGGGTGATCTGGAGCGCGGGTGACGTGAGGAAATGCCCTCGGTCACACGTGTTCTGAGAAGTACAGCAGGGGATGCTGGAGTTCCTGGACCTGCGTCCTGACTTGGGATTATTTACTGTTAATAATAAGTGATATGGGACTTGGGAAGAACTTGCATGTCAGCTTGCTTACCCATGCTGAGAGCACCTGTAGAAGAGCCATGAAAGGGAAAAGAGTCAAAACGCAATAGGTACCCGAGAACTGTCAATCTCAAAACCCTTAACATGTTAATGAGAAAGGGTGCTGTACTAAAAGAAAGGTACAGAATTTTAATATAAACTAGAAAAACAGAAATAAGTGGTATCTAAAGGCTCAGAGTGGATAAAAGAGGAAAAAGAGCCAAACACTTCTAATTCCTATGCCCACTGAAAATCACACAGAAAATGCTTCTCTTTGTTTTTTTGTTTGTTGTTGGGTTTTTTTGAAAATATTTTTTAGATCATGAGATTTCAGAAGATAACATCTTGTGGAACTTGGGCCTCTAACAATAACATATAGAGTATCATCAGACAATTGAAAAAGAGGCCTCTGTAACATAACCACATCGATGAATTTCTCCTTTTGTTTTCCCTGGTTTGGTGGTTCTCTGTGTCCTTGTGTTATCCTCTAACCTCCAGGACTTCTTCCACGGTTCACATATTTCTAGGCAATTCCTTTTTTGTTATCACTTTTCATTCTGAAATGTTATGAAATGTTAATCAAATAAGTGTCTGTGAACTCCAGGGTCAGCGGATGTCTGGTTAATTCCTGAATATTGTTAACCAGGTAAGTTCTGATAAAAATAGTCGGTATTCAAGCTGTTTGACATCGTGACTTTAAGTATTTCAGGCAATTACACATTCTTCGTGCACTCGTGTTTTTCTTCTACTCCCACCACTTTATAGTTTTTAGTTATAGGGTTGGTTTTCTTTTTTTCCTACTGTAGTGAAGGAAGTTCTTTTCACATAAATCCAGAGGATCAGAAAGAAACTAAGCTTTATCCTTATTTTTGTTATTTTGTCCTAGCCACCCGTACTGCATCAGTTTGGTCTGACTTTTGTTGCTCAGGTTTCCATTAAGGCACTGGAAATGACTGAAGGTCAGCCTCCAATTATATTTTATCGCTATGCCTGTGTTAACAGACTACAGCTGACTATCATGAGTTACTTGGCCATATAGCTTATATGGCCAAGAATATTCAAAACTATTAAGAACAAGATAGAAACCTTGGCGCCTGATACACGGCTGTAATAAACATTTTGGGCAGCTCAAGTATTTACTCATCCACATCAGAGCCATTTGCAAAGTACTCCAGTAAGGACAACCCTTCCCGCATTATGCTTTTCATTCAACAACTACCAGTTACTCGTGGTCACACCTTACGCTATTACCTGAAATTGGAAAGATAGGTGTTGGAGGTGTGGATATTACTCGAGGGGATGTGCTGTCCTCTAAATAAAAGTGTGCAGTCTGGAAGCATTTCCTGGAAAGAAAAGAAAGCAATTTAGGTACCAGTTGCCATAAGGCCACTTCGGAGCTGCTTGAAAATTATGACAGAAACTTCCAGAATTAAAGCGTGAATGGAAAGCTACATCTATTTTACAAAACACAAAGTATTAAAGAATTTCACGGCCTCCAAATTTATCTCGATTGTACGTGTGCCAGACGCACACGGGTGAGTAGATATCAGACGCCCTGAAAGCAGAGATGGCATTTGAGGTCGTGGTTGGTGCCAAACAGGATTTTGCCAGGATCAGGACACCTCAGGGCCCGAGCCACTCTCCCTCTGCTGCTATGTACCAGGGGGTCCTGCCCCCTTGGACTGGACCGGAGGGGAAAAGAAACCACGTCCGAAGCTCTTTTCACTCAGTATTCCAGTGAGCATACCTTTCTGAGCATATTCAGCTGCTAGCAAAAGGTAGCTCTGACTTGTAGAAATGTAATTCTACAGTGATATTCTGATGAAAAAGGAAGACCGCCTTATACTGTGAGTATGATAATGCAGTAAGGACAGAACGAAGTGAGGAAATAATGAGCATATAACCAAAAACAGGCGTGATTTTCTTTCCAACAGATGCTAGCCTTGTTGATGAGGGTTTTGAGAATGAATATATTTGGAATCAGCGACAACTATGACCTACAATGTCACCTGAATCTATTTTCATTCAGATAATAAGAGTAACATCTGGTAAGAGCACACCACAAACTATTGAGAAGAGCAAAGAACCAACTGCTGCTTTAAACTAATGCAAACCGTACTTAATTAAAAAAATTTAGATAATTAAAACTGCTAATGACACTCTTTGACGTGGGTCATTTAATTTATTTGAAATATTATTCATGAGTGGTTAGGCTTAAATAGAAATATCTGTTTGAGTAAAAATGCCAATCTCATTTTCCATTTAAGAGTCGAGCTACAAGATATTTATTCTAAGGAGCTTTAACATAACATTTGTTCTTATAGGACACACCTCAATTGTAATATTCCTTCAGTAATCGGCTCCCTGCATAAAATTCATCAGTGGCTTCCCAGTGGAATTCGAATGAGAGTCAATTATTTCAAGAAGGGCTGTAAGACCCTCCATGACCTGGTCCCCCACCTACATCAGGGGTGTCCTCTCCTGGCCTCAGGTCCACACTGGTCCTCTGTGTCTTCTACCAAGAGGCACCATCAGCTCACCTTGGGGCCTTGGCTCTTGACCTTCCTTTTTGTTGCCTGCCTCCATCCGAGCATATTTGCACTGGCTAATATGCCACCTCCTGTGACCGTCCTTCCCTGACCACGTCAGCTAAAAGGATCAGCTCATCCCACCAAGTCACTATTCCTCTCCCTAATGTCAGCTTTGTGCCACTTGTCACTTTCTGAAATTCCTTACTTATGTATTTGCCTCGTGAGGTTTTAGTCGGTCCTTCCTCATCAGAATGGAAGCCTCACGAGGGCAAGGTGCTTGGTCTCAACGCAGTGTTGGTCCTCAGCGCGAAGAACAGTGGCAGGTGCCCTACATCTTAAAGTTGTAGGTGCCCCAAATATTTGCCCAATGAATTTACTGCTATGAGTAGTATAAAATTCTATAGTTTATTTATAACCTTAATGTCACAGGCAAAAAAAAAAAAAAATCCAAAAGCAAGGATGTGCATAGTAAAGACTAGCCCTCTGCTGTGATCGTGTAAGCATTTGATAAGAGGACACGTATCACCAAGAGAACACGAGAATGTCTTTAAGGGAGAACAGGCAGTGTAGGAGGAAGGGGAGTGCATGTGGAATCAAGTGTTGAAGGGATGTGAGCTAGGTTCACAGCCTGGAAAGCGGAAAAGAGTACAGCCGACCATGGAGAATGGGAGGGATGAGGGCCACAGGTCTCACGGTAAAGAAACTACCCAGCTGAAAGTCTGCATTTGAGCACCCCTGCAAGCAGGCTGGAGCAGAGACTCCAGGGGAAGTTTGGTGTCTCTGTGCAGCCACAGATGGAGCATGTCCAGACACACTGATAGGAAAACACTGGGTTTGATACGTCTTTCAGGATCACAGTTAAGTCTCTTTGATTCCTCTAAAATGCAGATTACCAAGGCTAGGAAAAGGGTTTCTATTTATTTTTCAATGAATCTTCAAGTCGTAAAATGTCTTAGGGGACCTCGTGCAATATCACAGCAGATGTTAAGACTCTTTCTGACACATAAAGATTAGCTCTGGTGACAAGGACCTCACTGCTTTATGAGTCATCTCGAGTGACTAGATATTTCTTTCTCATGCTAACTGAGAACTCATTCTAAGTACCTCTAAATGGTACCCACTGTTCCACTGTTATGCCTCTTACTGTTGATATTTTTTTGGTATTAAGCCAAAAATCTATCTTCCTGTTACTTGGCCATATTGGTTCTATTTCTGTACTTGACTGTTAGATACTGGTACCTAAGATCTTTCAGCACTTAAATGCTACCCCTCTATGGCCCTCACTTGTTTTCACTTTCTCCTTGAAGTTTATACTCCAATAATACAAGTTGCAGATCACTGAACGTGCCTTGTCCTGCCTTCACTCAGGGTTTCTTTCCCCTGCTTTAAAACATGGTTCTCCTGGGACGCCTGGGTGGCTCAGTTGGTCAAGCATCTGCCTTTGGATCAGATCATGGCCCCAGGGTCCTAGGATCAAGTCCCACTTTGGGCTCCTTGCGCAGCAGGAAGCCAGCTTCTCCCTCTGTTTGTGCGCACACTTTCTCTCAGACAAATAAATAAAATCTTTAAAAAAACTCTGCTTCTCCTGATCAAAACGCCTCACTCATGAATATGCCAGGGAAATACTAACCTCCTTAAAGACAGCTCGGTGGTATCTTCTCTGTGATAAAGGTTCTCAATCCTAAGTAGCCTCTAACACTCCCATTTCTCTGTTTTCACTGCCCTCAAGACAAACTTCCACTCATCCTCACCTTGACAAAGACTATTTTGAAAAATATGGTTAACTAATCCAAGGATGACCTTCACTTCCTGAACTCTACATAATTAAAAAAAAAACTTTATTAATTGGTAGCTAGGGTTATGATTTTGCAATATATTTGTTTTGTGCCTATATCCTCATTACATTTTTTAAAAGATGGGGCCAACCACAGGTAATTCAGCTGCATCCTAGACTTTTTGCCTACCTGAGCCTCAAATGGGATAACTTAAAATCTCAAAACATTTGGGAGAAGGAGGTGAAACATATATAACTAGAGGAAGATGGATGGATGGATAGGTGGATAGAGAGAGGATGGGTCTGAGAAAATGGGAAGAAGGCAGGACCTCACAGAACAGAAAAAGGTAAATTAAAACTTATTGGTATTAGGCTTTACTATGTTTAATGTTCATCGTATCATCTGTGCAAATACCAGCTCTACTCTTTTTAGCTATGTAAGCTATGTAAATATTTGTTGGTTTAAGCAAATATGGTCCAATGGTGTTACTTGTATTAACAAGCAACAAAAGGGTTATTATAAAATCATACCAAAAAAACTCTGTAAGTTGGAAAAGTTAAAATTAAGATAGTGTAGGATAAGTTCTTGATGACGATCATAACATATTGCTTCAGTATACTTGATAGTGCAGTTCTATCCCGGAAGTGACACTCTCCCGGGGGCAGCATGGTAACCGGAGGCCTCCATTCTGGGTTGGTAGCTATCCTTAGTGACTCATAAATTTGAATTTAAGATCAAGAGAGAACTCATATTGCTTTTCTTCCCACTCCCCAAAGCTAAAACAACTGTCTACATAAAGTTCTTTTCCATACTGCTTTTGATGGAGTGCTATTTTGTTGATTATACCTTTGGTATTTTTTAGGTTCCAACTGTTAAAAAAAAGCTCCCAAAAGTTTGCCCTTTGTCTTCTTTAAAAAGAACTTTTTGAAAATCTTCCATCTTGACGTCATTTTGCAACTTAGAAACTTAACGATTTGGCTCATGTAAATCCTACCTTAAAACATCTGGAAAATAATTTCAAGGCATATTATTTAATGTATGACAAGATTCAATATCTATAGTCCATCTGTTCTGTACAAGCAGCGAACGTCTTCACGTCTATGTGCTAAGTGTTGATAACTATGTCTCTTGCTAATTATCACTCAGCCATGATGAAAAAAGTGATGACTGTTTTAAACTTGTAGACATAGGTCCTATCAATCAATGTTAATCTGATTATTTGATTTACACCTTTTCATCACAGTATTTAGAATTAAGAGCTAGAAATGTGTAATTATTATTCCATTTTTTTGGATCCTTACACAAATAGAACCACATTTATTCATTATGCTGCATGCATCACAGAAACCCTAAAGAAGGTCTGACTGCAGTCTTAGAAATGATCTAGTGAACCTTCCCCCAAAATGGTAGAGAGAGGAAAACCAGTTCATAGGTGGATAAGTGACATGTCCAAGACCGCAGAACAAATGGCAGGCAGAACCGGGAAAGGGACCCAGCTTTCCTCACCTCTAACATTTCTTGTCTTCCTGCTACAACATGCTTTCTCCCAAGTTTTACACAAAACCTAGGGGACTGCCTTGAGTTAGGTGAAGAGACAAAAGAAAAGACTCATTTTTACCACTTTACAATTACTTTTTCTCCTAAGAAATTAGGTTAGAAAAATATAAATATATCGGCTTTAAATATAGTCTTTAAATATATCGGCTCAGGAAATCTCATAAGGACTGAGTCACTATTAGGACTTCTTTCCACAAAGGTCTAAAATATTTTCATATTAGCTAGTGAAATCACACGGGTCTACATCAGAATTTGAATATCTCACAAAAACCGTGAAGAATTTACTAACACTGTCATTTTGTGATTCACCAACTAATACCCCTGGTGTATTACTGATCTAAAAAGTTACATTTTGAAGTGAATTCATTTCAAATGGATGTGAAAAGGACAGATATGTTAAATTTTAAATGGGTAAGTAAAAAGTGACAAATTTTATCAGAACGTGATGATAGATATAAAATATATACATAAAGTCGTCAAGGTGCTCAGATTTTAAGCTAATGCACTCTATTCAAGGTACCTAAAGTGTTATCTGGGAGGAAAAGAGAAACATCTTATTGGTGAAGGTCAACTTAGTATTTTTCAACTGGCAATTTCTTTCTTCATCACATAATACAGATCAGTTGACCCATTATTAATAGACTATAAAAACCATTACAGATTTTAATTCTCCATAAAATACCAAATCATATTAAATAAGACACTTTCAAATTTGCAAAAAGTAACCTTGAAATATTAAGTAACAAAGATTAAAATCCTCATTCTAATTATTTCAACATCATAACTGAAACCATCTGACATTTTTATTGGAAATTTATTCTAACACCATTTATTATGAAGTAGAATTTGGGTGTATTTTCCATCTCACTTTTAAAAAATTAACTCTAATTCCAATTAACTTCAAAAAATTGGTTTGGCAGGGAAAAGTCAGATGAGATAAAAACCCGTAATCTGAACAAACGCAAAATCGATGTTGGTATAAAGTTTGGCCAACAAATCCAGTGGGGAGTAAGGAGAAAAGCAATATGAATTCTTCTTGAGCAAACATTTATGGATTCTGCACTGCGTTCATGCTACTCTGCTGAGCATGGAATCTTCTATTAAAAAAAAAAAAAAAGAGTCCCCAGTAACTACAGGCATCAGTTAAGAGAGCAGCTTTGTTTGCGTCACGTTATGGACAAAATAGCCTCCCGACTCCTATATCATAGCAAAAGGAGGATCTGTTCTCTGCAGTTTACTCTCTTCTGTAAAGGTGGTCAGACAGGAAGCAGTTGGTCATGAAAACGCTCTGCTCTAGTCAACCGACGTCCAACTACATGCAACCGCGTGCTCCAGACGTCACTGTCAGACGCGCTCAGGACCCCTGCTTCCTGTTGCTCCCACTGGCGGGGTCCCTGCCTGAATGCTGCTCTCTTACCTCCACCTGGGTCCTGTGGCACGCAAGCCCTACCTGTTACATTTACTGTCATCCTGGCCTCTTGAGACCCCTTGTTCTCTGACCACTCCCACCACTAGAGTTCAGTTGTCATGTGTACACTTCTATATAGTTTGTTATAAACTTTTCATGGGAAATCCTCAATAAGCATACATTTCTCAGCCATAGTGACTCATTCACTTTTCATTCATTCATTCATTCATTCATTCTTTATATTTTCCACAGTAGTCAACACAGTACTATACACATAGCAAATAGTCCATAAACACGGTAAATATTTTTGAATAAATTGAGAGAATATAGTTTAGAATAACACATCAAGAGTGGTCTTTATGAACTTGTAGAAAAATGTTGCTAAACAAAAAGGAATCAATTATAGAGCCTTTGAACAAAAGTCTCTTTTAAAACAAAGGAAGAAATTACCAGGATATGATTCCTTATATCATCATAAAGGTTTTGTTTTCCAGGACACGGTTATAATAGTTAGACTGACTTATATGGCTTCCCCAGTAAACCCCCTAATTTGCAGTGTGTTCTGCTTGCTATGGGACAGGAAGCTTATGATGGGTGCAATTTTCTTTGTCCTTTAAAAGTTTTAAAAGGATATTGGTAAAAAAAAAAAAAGGATATTGGTGACAGCAAAGTTATATTTCATCCTCAAAGCAAATTATAATTAACTTTAAAATCCCATGCATCTTAATATAGTCATCATCTTTATTTTCTTATTATATTAATATTTTAATTGCTTGATTTTTACTTTTGTGTATGGGTTATCTTCTTTTTGTTATTAGTATGCTGCTGATGCGCAGCTTGTATAAAATCCACTATTGTAAATAAACTGTATTTTTACTGTATCAAAAATTACGTTTTTCTAGACAATAGCTTTTGAGATTGTAACCGCTGGAACATTTAGGTGGAGAAGCTTAGATTTACCTTAAATGCTACGATAACGTTTGAATGTTAATTAGATTAATATGAAAGTACACTGTCGAAATACGGTCTTCAATATTAACTGAAGCCAGAGTTCCTCCATTTCAACTTTAGTTGTTTCATGGAAGTATGGAGAACAACCAAATCTTTGCTTATTAGGTCTCTGGATTTACAGAATCACTGTATTCACAGTTAAATTAATGGTAGATGCATAAATTAATGGTACCTATCAAGTAACAAGAATCATAAATATGCTTTGAAGAAGTTTCAGGTCAAAAAACAGGCAAAATCTAAGCTTTATGAAGCACATTTCTACAACAAGCACTCAACTTACCTCCAATAGATGAGAATACCCACAAGAACCACTAGACAGATAAAAGTCAGGGCTGACACGATCACAAGGGGTATAACTGCCTTCTTCTCGGATTCCAGCCCCTCAGCTAGACCAATACGAGACTCATGGCTACTATTACTGGCCTCTGTAGTTGGAGAAAATTGAGAGAGTTGATATTGAGGCTTAAGAAAAAGTCACAACGTTTTTCAACCGAGTAATCGCAACCTTCATTGCTGTTGCTTACCTTTACAATTTCAAATCAAAAAATGTCTACCTTTACAAGCCGGTTTAAGTAAAACAAGGTTTAAAAAGTAAGGCAGGCTATCAGAGCAGAGACTGGCACCTAGGTACGGGTGCTGTGGCAAGAAATGAGCATAACACTGCCTTGAAAGGTTTGCTAAAAAGAAAACAGAAGTATTAAAATAAGAAAACGATCCAGTTTTTAAATAAAATGACCAGGAAAAACAATGCGACTTACTGTACCATAAATCATCTTGATTTTTCCAAGTGTAATTTTAATAAAATGTTTCTGATCCTGCAATTAAGTAAGTAGCTAGGAGCAATTAATAATTCCATAAAGAGGGAATCTTGGAATAACCCTTCGTACATTAAGATAACCATTCAATCCAGAAAACTATTAAAAATTTAAATGTAGGTTTCTCTTAAGGTGACAGCAAATGACTATTTTTGTGACCAGTTGGGTACACTATCGTTCTAGCACTTTTGAAATCATTGCATCTGGGGCAATCCTTCCAAGTTGCTAAAAAGAGTTTCAGAACTTCAGCGTATCTGCGGCCGGTCACAATGCTTCCCTTCTACTTTGAGGTATGTGCAGTGGCGAACCAAGGCAACTGGACATTAGAAGTGCTCTGCTGTGATATGCTGACACTGCTACGGAGTTAAAGCTCTCACCGTGTGCCTGCAGAAGTTCTGGAAGAACCACACTGACGTGCCCCCCGAGAGTCTATATTGCTTTCTAGACACATGAGGCACATGAGGTGCTTTTATGCCAAGCAACTCACTTTAGTTGATATGAGACAAAGGGAATCGATTTAATTTAAAGGTTTCAGAATAAATTTGGGAGTAATTAAATTCACAAATACAGCCCTGAAGTATACCTAACGGCAGAGCGCTGCAGATTTAAAATGGTGGCTTCCTTCTGAAAGATGAAGCAGAAAGGGTCAAGAATTTAATCCATTGATTGAAGAAATGTATCCGTAGACAAAGGACACCCAAATTTCCCTAGACATTTGTTCTTCTAATTATGGATGCATTTGCTAGAAAAGAGTAGAATCCAAAGGTGTGACTTAAAAAATCGTAACACTGAGTAAAAATTGGGAATACTGTAAATCAACTGATCCCTCAGCTGTAGTTAATATTCTTGTGAGAGACCCAAGCTTTAGTTTCTATTCTGTTAATCGTATGCTCTGGTCATTACACATTGTGATGAGGCTCATCTAGAAGCCTAAATAATCTGATGGTGAATGCACTGAAAGTTTCTTTATAAAATTCAAGAAAGGATCTTGTTTTAATACATAATTGTCTTCACTTTTTTTTCTTGACTATAATATTGTTACCTAAATGGACATTTTGAGGCTAAACAATGAAATAATTCACTTCGTAAAGTCCCTGGTACCTAGAAATTACAAATGGCAGTTAATATCATTATCTAAATCATTCATTCTTGAAATGTGGTTCCCAGAATATTGGCATTGGCATCACCTGGAACTTGTTAGAAATGCCAATTTGGGGCCCCATGCCAACCATCACAAATATGCTGAATCGGAAACTCTGTGGGTAAGGCCTAGAAATCTGTGTTTTAACAAGTCTTCCAGGTGATTTTGATCCACATTAATGTTTGAGAACCAATAATGTACATTAATTTATATACAACGTGAGCTTATATAATTATGTGACCACAAATATTTATAGAAATATGCACATAGGTGTGTATATATATGCATGTATGTAAATACATATCTCACTTATATATGTACGTGCATACGTATATATGAGATAGATCTGATCACATATGTGATATATATGTAAGATACAGAACACATAAAATATGTAACAAATTACCATATATATCACACTCACTATACACATGCACTATATACACACATGCACACACATAAAATCTTGTGATACAGACTTTACTCGTAAGTTCTCTGGGAGGCCTGATTTTAAAATGAACCTTTTTACTGAGGAGTCAGAATGATAAATCCATGGTAATTACATATTAGGAAACCCAGGTATTTTATTCGAGATGAGATACTACATGAAAATATAGATAATACTGGCTAGCTAAGTGTCTGCTAGTGCTGAATGTCAGGGTCATGAGTTCAACCCCCACGTCGGATGCAGAGATTATCTTAAAAAATAAAATATATAAAATTCAAAAAATATATTTGTAAAAAAAAAGAAGTATGATCAACTGGTTGCTTTACATGTTGCAGTGAGGAACGACTACTGGTATTGATCTTTAGATTCATCAGTTGAGACTAAAATACCTATTTTGATATGGTTCAGTAGCGTATATGAGTTACCTAAATAGGACAATAATCTTCCAACAGATGACTAGTAAACATAAATAAGATCAATACTTCAAAATACATTTTTAAAATAAAACAGTATAATTTTGGCATTACAAATTGAGCATCATATATATTTTATTGTCCTCAATGATGAAAGCATAGTCTCTAAGAGATGGACACCAACAACACATGATTCCAGTCTCAGTTTTGCGTTAACTTCCTTTGAGACCTGAATCAAGTAATTTAGTATCTCTGGGTCTCAGTTTATGCCTTCATAAATTGCAGATACTCATATTTGTTGCCTCATCTACTTGGTTTTAGGGAGCATGTCTCATAAGTTATTCTACGTTCTAGAAGTGCATAATAAAATAATAAGTTTCAGAATTAGCCTGTTGCATTTGATAAGGAGGCATATTCAATTACTTTATAAGACAGATACAGTATTAAAAGTAGACAAGAATTTTTCCCTAATTTGTTTGATCTTATTACTCCATTAATTATGTTACCTGGTAACATTGGAAGTTATATTCCTACTGTTTTCTCCTCATCAGTGGGAGAACATACTCTTCATAATTAATCACATTAGTGCACTGATAAGAAATTACTAAGTTTTAATCGATAATTCTAGGTTTGGCACTTTGCAATATATATAGTTTCTCCATAACAGCATAATCTAGCAAGGACATACTGATGATGTTACTACCTAGTAAGATAGAAAAAAAAAAAAAGGATGAATTCCTAATATGTCTTTAAAATAAATCTAATAGTTTTTTTTTTTAAAAAAAACCATGTACTATAATTGAAGCCAGATAACAATCATATATATGGCAACACTAATGAATATGGTGACCTATGGATTCATTATTCATTCTCACATATCAGAGTGTAATGTTTAAACTGGAATGCAATGTTAAATAGGTATCAAGTCAGAATGTAGAAAAACTTCTCTATCAAAATGTACAAACTTTTAATTGCTGCTGCACTGAAAGAAAAATATACAACTAATTCAAAGGATGGAAATAACAAAGAGAAAAAAATGTCCTAATGAGACTGGTATCTATGATATGGCTTAAAGTATCTGCATCTATGAAATAAGATTACAAGATGGTACCTTAAACTATCTTTTGACTTACTATGTTGAGATTTAAATATTTTCATTGTTAATTTTTTAAATGCCTTAAAATTTAACAAACTATAAAATTCCTACGATCAACTCAATGAAATTACCTAGTATTTCATATGCTTAATGGTATTGAATCTCCCTTTCTCCCCATTGGTATTTAAAACAAACATCTGTATTATATATGTTGCAGGTAATCTGCTCAGAGAAACAGCTGGCCAATAAACTAATTTGCATAAAATACATTAACAAATGAAATGCATTTCTACAGAGAATGTTCTAGTGTTTTACATCTTGTCATACAATACCTATACAGACTATGCATATTAATGCCATTCTCTAACTTCTTAGAAAGGCGAATCACTGCAAGTCCAAAGTAGAACGTATCTTGTTAGTTCACACTGCCCTCTTTAGGCAACATTAGGGTAACCAAACAAAGACGACTTGAAAAAATTAAAACCTTAAAAAAAAAAAAAAGATCTTAGCATTAACTCTCAAAACTCAGCAACAGAACCCTTTAAAGCTCCCCAGGCTGACGTGGATGTGCAGACTATCATATCTTTTCCATGGGGTGGGTCAGAGAGGTGTTTCTATCATATTACTATCAGAATTTAATCATCCACTTCATCATTCAGCGAGATTAGATCACATCTTACTTTAGAACATAAGTGAATATGAAAGTTAAACTGTCCAAAAACAGCACACTCCAGTCTATCACTTAAAAGGCAGTATACTAAAAATGCATTGCACACACATAATTGCTCCTACATGGAACTGGCATCTTGAAGAATATGAAAAATTTAAATAAATAAAAAACGTTTTTTTCTCTCTGCTACCAAAGCATGTCGAGTATTCGTTTGAAATGAGTAAAATAATACTTTAAAAACTGTAAATTGATATGTCGAATGTCTTGATTCAAAAACAAAACGATGTGCCACTTTACCACTGCCTCCTTCCATGGTTTTTCTATTTTTGGAGGAAGAAAACCACCACAGCTCGGTCTATCTCTCGGATCCAGAACTAACCTGCCTCTGAAATGTTGAATACTTCCGAGTGCCTGCTAGTCACCGTCGGCGTGGAGGACTGAGGGGATCTGGGGGGCATTTCTGAGTCACCTGCTTCCAGGCCCCCATCCACATCTCTCTCATTAATGTCTGGAAAACTGAAATCTGTGGAGGTGTCGTTGTCATTCAGGTTATCCATGAGGGCGTGCCCTGAGCCGCTCTCTTCGTCACCGGCAACCACGGCCCATGCTCCGGGCTCCGGGGGGCGAGGAGGCTGGGCCTTCCCGGTCTGAGGGTCCTGGTCCTGCTTCCCGCTCCGGGGCTCTTGGGGCGGCTCGGGCGCTGGCGGGGATTTCTCAGCGCCTCTCTGCGGGTCCGCCTGACTGTCTGCTGTCACACCTGTGCCTTTATTGTCTTCCGCAGAGCTTTCAGATAGTGACCCTGAGGTCGGGGCGGCCTGATCCCCACGACTGCCCTCTCGGGGGTCTGCCTCGCTCGTTACCCTTTCCTGGGATTCTCTATAGGAGGAGCACCACATACACCTGCTCACGGCCAGGCTGTCTCTCTCCCTGTCGTCGTCGTCGTCGTAATCGTCAGAATCCCCATCGTCACCACCACCCACTAAACCACCATCAGCCCCAGCACTCGGGATCTGCCCGGAAGCTGGTTTGGAAGGAAGGAGCACCTTGGTTGTGGGGACAGGGCTCTGTGTGCCGGCGGGGACAGCTGTGATGGAAGCGTACACACTTCCTGAGGGAACAGAATGACGGGCCGTTACAGGCGAGTCAGACACGGTGGCTGGAGCCCCAGCCAACACTTCGTCGGCCAGGGACCCCTCGGTGGAGGTGAGAAGCTCATCGGGATATATGAGCTCGCTCGTGAGTGTGCTTGGTGGTGCAGCTGTCGGTAAGGCAGGGGTAGCAGGTGCACGCCTTCCGCCCTGGGCGAGCGCATGGCTCACCTGCAGACTGGCTGTTGAGGTTGGAGCCCCAGCCAACACCTCGTCGGCCAGGGACCCCTCGGTGGAGGTGAGAAGCTCATGGGGATATATGAGCTCGCTCGTGAGTGTGCCCAGTGGCGCAGTCGTTGGCAAGGCAGGGGTAGCAGGTGCACGCCTTCCACCTGGGGCGAGCGCATGGCTCACCTGCAGACTGGCCGTGGAGGCTGGAGCCCCAGCCAACGCCTCGTCGGCCAGGGACCCGTCGGTGGAGGTGAGAAGCTCATAGGGATATATGAGCTCGCTCGTGAGTGTGCCCAGTGGCGCAGCCGTCGGTAAGGCTGGGGTAGCAGGTTCATGCCCTCCATCTGGGGCGAGCGCATGGCTCACCTGCAGACTGGCCGTGGAGGCCGGAGCCCCAGCCAACACCTCGTCGGCCAGGGACCCGTCGGTGGAGGTGAGAACCTCATGGGGATATACGAGCTTGCTCGTGAGTGTGCTCAGTGGCGCAGTTGTCGGTAAGGCAGGGGTAGCAGGTGCACGCCTTCCACCCTGGGCGAGCGCATGGCTCACCTGCAGACTGGCCGTGGAGGCTGGAGCCCCAGCCAACACCTCGTCGGCCAGGGACCCGTCGGTGGAGGTGAGAAGCTCATAGGGATGTATGAGCTCGCTCGTGAGTGTGCTCGGTGGCGCAGTCGTCGGTAAGGCCGGGGTAGCAGGTGCACGCCTTCCACCTGGGGCGAGCGCATGGCTCACCTGCAGACTGGCCGTGGAGGCCGGAGCCCCAGCCAACGCCTCGTGGGCCAGGGACCCGTCGGTGGAGGTGAGAAGCTCATGGGGATACAGGAGCTCGCTGGTGAGTAAGGCCGGGGTAGCAGGTGCCCGCCTTCCGCCCGGGGCGAGCGCATGGCTCACCTGCAGCCTGGCCGTGGGCAGCGGCTCCTCACTGAGCAAGGACGGAGCCCACTGCGAACTTTGGCGACTCGGCCACAGCGGTTCGAAGGATTTCTCACTTGCATGAGACGCGGTTGAACCCTGGGGGTTAGCGGCGGGCCCCAGGGCCCCGGGGGCGGACGCGGTTCCCCCCGAGGCGGCCCCGCCGCGCCCGGGCCCTGGGCTGCCCGCCGTCGGGGGCTCTCGCGGCGCGGGCGGGGCGGTGGCGAGCGCGGCGCGCCCCTCGGGGGCCCGCAGGGAGGGCTGCAGCGGCTCCGCGGGGAGGGCCGACGGCTCGCAGAGGGGCGGCGGGGCGGGGGCCGGGGCGGGGGCAGCAGCGGGCTCGCGGGGGGCGGCGCGCAGCGCAGGGGTCGGCCCGGCCGCCCCGAGGGCCTGCGCCGGGGCCCGCGAGGGCCGCACCCCGACGGCGTCCTCCGGGGCGTCCTCCGGGGCGTCCTCCGGGGCGCCGGGCACCGCCTGCGGGGCGGGCTCGGGGCGGAGCGCGACGTCGGCCTCGGCTCGCGGCCCCGCCTGCCCCGGGGGCACAGGTGCGGCGCGCGGCATCGCGGGGCCCGGGCGGCCGTCGGGGGCGGGGAGCGCGCTGTCCGCGGGGGCGCCCGACCAGTCGGCGGCGTCGGCGTCGCCGTCCGCGTCCCCGTCGCCCGACGCGCCGGGCGGGGGCAGCAGCAGGGGCGCGGGGGGCGCGGGGGCCGCGGGGCCGCGCTCGGGGGCTGCGGGCAGCACAAGCGTCGGGGAAGCGGCGGCGGCGGCGGCGGAGTCACAGGGCGCGGCATGCGGGGCCGGGGCCGGGGCCGGGGCCGGGGCGCGGCTGGAAGCGGCAGGGCTGGCGCTGCGGGTCCGGCCGGCAAGCAGCGGGGGGGCTAGAGGGCGGGCCGGGCTAGCGCGGGCAGGCCGGGCGGGCGTCTCACCGTGGGAGCCGGGCGGCGTGCTGGGCGGGTGCGCCGCGCTCGCGGGGGGCCGCGGGGGGCCCGGGTCCTGCCGTCCGGGGGGCGCCGTCGGGGCCGGGGCCGCGCCGGCGGAGGGCGGCCCGTGCGCGCCGGGGGTCGCGGGGGGGCGCGGGGCCGGGGGCTGCGCGGAGCCGGCCCCGCCGGCCTCCGAGGCGGCGTCGGGCGGGGGCTCCTCGGCCCCGGAGCCGGACGCGGCTGGCTCCCCGGGAGCGGGTCCCGCGGGCTGGGGCGCGAGGCCGTCGTGCGCCGGGGCCCGGGGCGCGGGCGGGGCTGCGGCGCTGGGGCCCGCGGAGTGGTCGGCGCCCGGGGCCAGCCCGAGCGCCGTCAGCAGGCCCTCCTCCTCGCCCAGGTCGGTGGACGCCTCCGGGGACTCGGCTCCCGACCCCGCGGGCCCCGGCAGGTGCAGCTGCGGAGGCGTGGGAGGCGGCGGCCGGGCGGCGCTCCCGGGTGTCCAGGGGACCCCTCCGCGGGGGGCCGGCGCCGTGACCCACTGGGAGGTGCGGCGCACACCGGGCCCGGGGGCTCCGCCTCCCCTCGCTGGGGGCCGCCGGGTCTTGGCCTCACTGTGTTGGGTCCCCACGTGGTTGTAGTTGGTTGTGGTCGCAATCTGGGGCTCCTTCCTCCTTATGTGGTTTGTGGCGCTGTCTCTGCCGGGACTCACGAGAGCGTCCTCTCCGCTGTCTTTGCCCCCTTCTTCCTCCTTTGAAAAGCAAACGAGGTTTAATGGAACCTAAGGAAATAAGAAGAAGCCCCCGAATGCGCAATGACGCCTTAAACTGCCTTGTACGGCTCACCTTGTCCGGCTCACCTTGTCCGGCTCACCACCTTGTACGGCTCACCTTGTGCGGCTCACCTTGTCCGGCTCACCTTGTCCGGCTCACCTTGTCCGGCTCACCACCTTGTACGGCTCACCTTGTGCGGCTCACCTTGTCCGGCTCACCTTGTCCGGCTCACCTTGTGCGGCTCACCTTGTCCGGCTCACCTTGTACGGCTCACCTTGTACGCTCACCTCCCCCCGGGGAACTCAGACCGCTCCCGCCCGCAGAAGCCTTGCCTCTAGCCCAGGACCCTTCTCATCCCCCTTCCAGGACACTCCGTGAACTCCATGAAAACACCCTGCCTACGGCTGCCTTTATTTTTAATGCGTGGAAGTAATTAAGTTAATAGGCACCACAGCTTTGAAAGAAAGGTGCATTATAATCTATTTATCGACAGCGTTATTCAGCACGGCACTTATTTCATGTTTCTCTGTTCAGTGCCTCTGGCAACAACTCAATAGCAATTAGCTTCTTATAATATGAAGTGGAACAATTTATTTCAAAGATCCAACTAGTTGCGTTTTCAGGATATTTCTTTGGATGCATTCAGAATAAGTCATAATTTCTAAGTCAACATAAGAGGAAGATTTACAACTAGAAGTTTTGGCTTTTCATTTTGTTTTAAATATTTTCCACTCAAGACATAGGTGGACATCATCTTCTTTTATATTTAAAAAATTTTTTATTTAAAGCCAATTAATTAACATCTATTATTGTTTTAAAATATTTTATTTATTTGAGAGAGAGAGAGAGCAAGTAGAGGGGATGAGTGGAGGGAGAGGGACAAGTACACTCCAGCTGAGCACAGAGCCTGACGGAGAGCTCGATCTCAGGACCCTGAGACCATGGCCTGGGCCAACACCAAGAGGCCAGACACTTCACCAACTGAGCCACCAGGTGCCCCATAGATACTTTGTTAAAGACAAATTGTCAAAGTACGCTTCTAGCACCAGGTATTTAATTTTATATTTTCCTTCGAAACACCATTGGGGTGACCCAGTCTTTCAGGAACACTTGTCACTGTCGTGGCCCAGGAGCACTCTGGCTAGAGGTCAACCAAGACCCATGGTTTTTGCTGTTTGTTTTTTCTTTTTTAACTGTGCATTTTTATGACATGTCTAATCATGTGCTTTGAAAATGAAACGGCCACAGGTGTTGTCCAGGTAGGCTATGGGACATGCTGTTGTCACTCTGAAGCCTGGGATGTGAATCTCCTTGTGAACCGTGCTTCCCTTTAGGGGAACACAAGGGGAGGCAAGGCAGCAGTGAGCCCAGGTCCCCAGGCTTCCACTCCAGCTTGCCCTCGTCCCCAGCCTTCTCTCTGCTTCCCAAAAAGGTGTGAAGAGAGCATACGCACACATTCACCCCCAGAGAAAGCAAAGGAAACGGCCACCCCTCACGCAGCGCGGCAGCCCTGTCCCCGCCGCAGACTCCGGGTCACCACCTGGACTGGTGGACATGAAACAGCTGCAGCGGAGCCGGTCTCCTCACCTGCTCTCCCCACCCTGGCGACCGGCTTTCAAAGACCAGCCTCCGCTGCTATTGCCCCCGTCAGCCTCAGCAGCATTTAGGGACTTTGTTCAAACACCCAGCCAGGGCGTGACGGTTAACGTCAAATCTGGCCGCACAACATAACCCATGGGGCTGGGACATTTATCACATGGGGGGTGGGTGCTGGAGACTCCAAAGGGGCCTGAGGGGTGGGGGTTGGGCAGGGGGCTCCCGGCCTGGCTTTTCCTCCAGCCTGATCCTCAGATCCCTCAGAGCCGGAGGGATCAAGGGGCTACCTCTGTTGGCCCGCAGGACTGTCACTTGTCAGATCTTTTAAAGTCACATCCCTTAAAAGAAGAAAACTGAGTAAGAACTAACAATGACAATTGTTAAGTTCTAACAATAAGAACTAACAATTTTAGGAGAAAGAATCTGAATCTTAAACTGTGTTCATATACCTCTCAGAATCTAATGAAAATGGGGGTGCTGGGATGGAGCAGTTGGTTAAGCATCCAACACTTGGTTTTGGCTCAGGCCCTGATCTCAGGGTCATGGGATTGAGCCCTGGGTCAGGCTCTGTGCTCAGTGCAGAGTCTGCTTGAGACTCTCTCTCCCTCTCCCTCTGGTCCTGCCCCCTGCCCACGCTCTCAGTCTCTAAACTAAATAAAGAAATCTTTTTAAAAATGTGATGAAAATGAGGTGCCATTCATTAATCCTACCTAACCACATCTTGTAGATCTCTATGAAGGCATGTGACCTCATGTCAACACTTCAAGAACACATCATTCATCCTCTATGATTACTTTATACAAACCTGAAACCACAAATATTTTAATGTATACTCCTTCCTATATTTTCTTATGAAGTAACTGTGGATCTCTCTTCCACTATGGTTTTGAACTGTGTCACACCTGTTATTCTTCACAGCTTCAATTTAGGAAGTTTTATTGTAAGGCCTGGATCATGCTGGAGATACTTTATCCTTCAAAATAATGCATTTTTATTTGAAGACAATCTAAGAAACATCGCCCAAACTATTGGCTTCCAAATTCAGTTTTAAAAACCATTACATGGACCCTGGGTGGCTTGGCAGATGAGTGCCTGCCTTCGACCCAGGGCTGATCCTGGAGTTCCAGGATAGAGTCCCACATCGGGCTCTATCCTGGAACCCGCAGGGAGCTTGCTTCTCCCTCTGCCTGCATCTCTGCCTCTTTCTCTCTCTATGTCTCTCAGAAATGAATGAATGAATGAATAAATAACCATTACAGATACGTTCCAGGAATTTGCCAACATTCATCCCTGCATGAATCCATGGTAGTGAATAGTGTCATGCATGGACTAAATATTTGTGCCTCCCTGAATTCCTATGTAGAAATCCTACCCCTCAGAGTGATGGTATTAGGAAGTGTAGCCTTTGGGAAGTAACTGAGATTAGATGAGGTCTTAAGGGTAGATCTTCATGAATGGGATTAATGCTCTTCTAGGAAGAGTCATGAGAGACCTTGCTGCTTCTGCTCTGCTCTCTACCGTGTGAAGATGCAATGAGAAGCCGGCAGTCTGCACCCTGGTGATCGCGGCTAGGTTTACACCTATCCATGTGTAGGCACACAGACACACACAAAGGTATCCTTGGCTGGATTTTGTGAACTCTCGTTGAAAGGTAGACTGCTCACTTTGGTAGAATAATCCTTTGTGTATAAATTAATCCTTTAATTTTTATAAGACATAAAAATTATTGAGATAATTCTACATGTGAAAATACAACCTAGCTGCTATTTATTTATTGCCAGATAGTAGTAGCATTAGTTATCATGCTCTATGGCCTCACACACACACACATACATACGTGTACATTTGTATTACATTAAGAACAGCACCTGCATTTAACATAATTTCAGTTACGATGAACAGTACATTTGGCTGTAGGGTGAGACAGAAGATGCGCCAGTCATTTTGTCTCAATTTTAAAAATTAAGCTCATGTTAAAATTTATAAATCTTTTAAAATACTTATTTACTTATAGGACGTTATGTTAGCAACAAACATTTATAATAAGAATAATCCAAACACAATTGTTTAGATTCAATGGGCAGAAGCGTATATACAACCTATATTTTGGCTCATATTTATGATCAATCTGTCAACCATTAGTTATTTATAAATAAACTGCAGAAATGTTAAGAATTGGTTAAATATTAGTCTTTTAGAAAAACTTGAACATTGAAAAAATTCTGAGTTATAGTTTATAGCTGTAATTATCTTGAAAGTTCACTTTTTAAATTATCACCAACCTTTTTGTTTTTTTTTTTTTTATTATACTATCAAAGTGTCTTCCAACTCTTCCGTGGAGGAATCATGTATATCAATTACATGCCTACCTACGAAGCTCAACAACTAACTCCTACAATGAATAATGCCGCACAAACTTTGATTAATGCAACATCTGAAATCTAGCCAATAACTGAAAAAAGACTTTTTAATTTTAAAACATTGTAATATGAAAATAGCTATAATACCTTGACTATTTCTTCAGTTCCAATCAATTCAGGGAAGAGGTCAAGTTCTACAAAAATAGAAACAAAATTATTAAAACGTTTATTCAACTATTTCAACCATGTGGGTTTACCTTTGGATGGAAAGAGGAGAGAGGAAGGGGGGGGAAGGCTTTTTAGCTTTGAAAATACAGAATCTCCAAAAATAAAAATCTCAGATTTTAGTTTCCGACAGTACTGAACACTGCGTAACACGCCACCACGCCAACCTACGTGAAGCTGCAGTGGAAGCCGCCTTCATCTCTATCCTCTACCCCAACTCCCTTCTCCTTCCCCCTCCCCTCATGTGTGGCTGAAGCTAAGAAGGGAGAGGGGGACAGGCTGACACTACGGAGTATAAAAAAACCCAAATGATTTTTTCTCAGTGTAGACCTTCATCCTTAACAGGGTTGAGAGTTAGGGAAATGCCAGGGATTAGGGGGAGAATTGACAGGATTTATTTTCTTATTCGGCTTCTTATCCCTTCAGTTCCTCTTCCGAGTGAGGTCAAATGATCCTCTTATACCGTGGATTTGGGCTCACGCTCAGACGTACGCAGGGCATTGCACCAAGTGGCCGGTGTCTTCCCGCAGGTCCAGCCTGGTGGCCGCAGGACCACATCATCCCAGTCCCTGCATCATCCCAGTCCCTCCTCTCCAGGGAAACCCGGCTGTGCTGTTTAGACGGGGAATGCACTGGCCAGGATCATTCAAGCCTGCTATTCCCAAGGACCAGAATCCGTGTATTTCCAGTACATGGATTATCTCGATCTTAAAACCTGTCCGCGAACGAGGAGAGACTAGGCGCTGGTTCTCTCCCGCCACAAGGAGTCTAGACACCACGCGGGTCACTGAGCGCCGAGCGAGAAGCAGGTTCACTCCGCATCTGAGCTGCGTTGGGCTCAGCCGGAATGAGCGTTAGCACAGCGATGCTTCTCTTGTTCCTATTACTTCACAGAATCTCATTCCACCCCCGACACTCACGCTCTTCCCTAGCCCAGGGCTGCTTGTGATTATGCTTTAGGCCTCTAGGTATCCTCAGGGGAGATGCACATTCTCTAAAGTTTTCAAAGGCAAAAGTGAACTAACAGGAAACGTTGATCAAATCCAGGCCTCTTCTATAATACAGACTTCCTTGAGTTTATTTTTATCATAAAATTTCTAGGCATTAAGAAGTGTTAAGACCATAAAATGTAGTCCTGTGCATGGATTCCATTTAGAGGAGAATTCAAGAAAAATTTGCAAGTGAGTCAATCTCTTAGAGAATTTAGGCAAAATTAATACTCCTAGCCATTCAGCTCTCTCAAAGTTTGTTAGCCTAAACAATTTTAATTTAGCCCTGAGTTAAATTCTAACCCTCAATTAGTTTTTTTCTTATTAAAACTGACCATGAAAAAGTTTGGAAACCTTTATTTGGACCATCAATGTTCTCTGTTTTCCATTTTTTGTTTTTCATGCTCTTTATTCTTCATGTTTTCGAATTGAGAGGATTTCAATAGTTTGAAACATTTGTGTCTCTATGACCTCCAAGGAAATCAGTACAGTGAGTTTAAAGATGGGATGCAGCTAAACTATAAAAGACAAATAAGAACCTTCAATATGATTTTCTATAAAACTACATTTAGAGAAGTTCATGCATGTGAGAGCCTTCAAATTCAGCATGTGAGACCATGCATAATTTTACCAAAATGTTCTTAAGTGGAGTCACACCCTTCATGAACTCTTAAAATATTTTAATGTTAATGAGGGCAAGTCATAAGAAATGTTTGTTAGTGACACATATATTATACTATCGATTTTTCTCTGCTAAGAGGCTATGGGAAAAAAGTCTCGATGATAATCCATTCTCTTCAACATGATTAAGGAAATGTTTTAAAATTAAAAACAAAGAAGCAAGCAAATAAAAACATGGTCTATCTTTACCTAACTTCATACTTTTAACAGGCAAAAGTAGTTTTCTTATTGATTGTCAAGGCTGGGGCAGGGCAGGTATAATTATCACAGTGATGACTGATTTTCTTTCAATATTCTCTGAGTGCATCATTGCATGTGATTTATCCTTATCCTTTTACCACAGCATAAGTTAACTTCAATTTGGTTTCCAATTAGATTATTTGAATTGACTAAAATTCTGGGGTTGCCCTGGATCACCTTTTCCCCCATATAATCCAGAAATCTCTCTGCTGAGTGTCTTCAGAACAATTGTGAAATACAATACTTTTAGAAAATTTTTTCTATCAGGGGCACCTGGGTGGCTCCGTCAGTTAAGCGTCTGTCTTGGGCTCAGGTCATGATCCCAGGGTCCTGGGATCGAGCCCCATGTCGTTGGGCTCCCGGCTCAGAGGGGAATCTGCCTCTCTCTCCCTCTCTTTGCCTGCCCCTCCACTCCCCACCCCTCCACAGCTCATGCTCTCTGTCAAATACATTTTTTTTTAATGTGTGTTTTTTTTTTAATCTTCCTGGAGATTCTAAAGCCATACTTCTGAGTCTGAGAGTTCACAGCGCACAAGGTATAGTTCTGGTGATGGGCGCAAGCTCATATTGGGTACCCTCTGGCCTGCTGGTTCTTCACCAGAATAACTGGTATTTTAGCAGCCATTGATCGGACTCAGACAATACTAATATATTAAGTAGTTCAAAATCATACTGGTTTGCAGTCTTCTCACTCACCTCATCAAAATAGACTGCATGAAGGCTATAAAAAGTCCCACAGTAAAGACTGTTAATGTATTTTTTTAGCGAATACAGAAAATTCACATGTGTGATAACTGAACAAAAGCTATTATTGGTTCATTACAGTTTAGTTTGGGGGCACATGTCATGTTAAGTTTTCTAGAAGAGCATGTTAGTAACACATTAATATTCCACGACACAAAAAAGCAACACTGATGTAGGTTGGCAAGCAAGGCTTATTTAATTGTCTAAAGAAAGCCAAGTTTCACACTGCAAGAGGTCGAAGCAACGTAGACTGCAATCTCTTGAAACTGTAATTTTAAATATTATATAATAACGGCCATAGCACATGATGGTACAGACAGAGCGAGGACAGAGAGACCGTGATTTAACAAACACAACTGTTACACAACCGACAAGCACACAACAACAGAAAAATGTGTGGATCTAAGTCACCATGCATTTAAATTTAACACATATAATTACCAAGACCCTAAAACGTGTACTTAAATGATATCCTCTATAATTGTATAATAATTAACTCTACATTATAGGAATGACACACTTATTTTAGTTACAATGAAATAAATATATTTATGAATAGTTTATTCATAAATACAGTTTTCTACAAAGTATTTGGAAAAAATATACATTTCAGTTTAAGCTTACTGGAGGAATTCGAATAGTTTCTTAATATGAATTTATGCAGGTTATTTTAAAATATACATTTTGCAGGTTATTTTAAAATATACATTTGTATATTTTAATTTTGTATATTTGTATACATTTGTATATTGTAATTTTAATGTATATTTAAAATATACATTAAAAATATATTTTAAAATATACATTATGCAGGTTATTTTAAAATATACATTTCAGTTTAAGCTTACTGGAGGAATTCGAATAGTTTCTTAATATGAATTTATGCAGGTTATTTTAAAATAGCAATTTATAGACATATTTAATGGACACTCGTTTTATGGTGACACTGTGGTACACAGCAAGTGTAATGAAAATGCACAAGCAATAATCAAATTAGCCAAAGTTAAATGCACAACTTAGAAGGTTGAGTTTTCCTTCGTAGATATTGATTAAGATATTTGAAATCTACCATTGAAAGAATGAGGGCAATTAGAAGTGACCCCCTTCATTTCTTTTTAACAAAAGTAAAAAACAATTCAGTATTTAGAAAACAGCTTATCCAAAATAATAATAAAATAATTCAACAGGGTACATTACAATGTTACTAAGGTAATGAACAATATGATTAACAGGATGAAATGGTACTGATGAAAACCATGAAATAAGCAGCAAACTCAAAAGCCGCTTACATCTACATTAGCCACATAAATTATAAAATTCACAAAGCTGGTAGGTACCATCACACTAAAACACAAGATAGTACTTTTATCAAGACTTCTACTGTGATATATTTACAACAGACACAATATTTAAGATAATGTAGTTTTAGTAACAAATTAAAAATATATGAATTGAAACGCCATTGCCACCTTTTAGATCAGAAAAAAAGTGAGTTCCAAAAGAACAAATCTTTTCTTTATGAAGAAATAGGAAGACCCCAAACTTTGGGTAAATTGGTTTTTGATGTAGGACTGCCACCAAATTATTTTGGTGGCAATAATTATAGAATAGTCTAAGTTTTTAACCTTGGATTTACAGAGGGATATCATAGTGAAACATCAAATCAAATACCATCTTTTACTAAAACATCATTACCGTACAAAATGCTTTAAGGGACTGAGATATCCATGGGGACTAACATCTCATTAGTTCGACAGTGTCCTCAGCCTTTGAATAAATGGAAATCAAGTTATAATATTTGTTATTTTGTACAAATGTGAACGTTCTACAAATGATACAAGAATGTTGTACTTTGTGCCAGTATAGACTCAGTCTAAAAGGATCACTCAGAAATTACTTCTGTAGAAAATAGACATTTGATCTGTTTTTCTTTATGCAATAAGCATTTCAAAAGTAAAAACGAAAGAATTCATAAAGTTTGAAATTCTGGCATAGTGGATAGAGCAAGAAAGACATAACACAAATAGCTGGAAGTAATTATTTTTTGTAAACTCCTGGGACATTGTTTCATGTGCAGAAATGAGAGTGGTATAATTAAACCAAGGTAGTAAATTAAATGAACGCATTTAATATAATTCATATCCTAAAATATACAATAGGATTCGAGGAGATTTTTACGTGCCATACTTCTTCAATTCACATATGATATTGGCCAGTATAGTCAATGTTGCACTGCTAGGTGGATCGATATGGGGAACTGTGGTGAGGGATGACAGTGGAGGACGGTATAACTGAAGCCAGGGTCAGTAAATTTGATACCCACATTTCAGTAAGATTTAGTGTTCACATTCCATTTAAAAATAGCCTAACTTTGAAGAACAATGCTAAATAAAAGCAATACATCATACCCAGGCCATGATGCAGATCGTAAGAAATATTAATTAGTGATACTGTCATCATGATAGTAGTAATTGATATTTATCAGCCATCAACATTTTAACCTGGGAAATAGCTTGGCAAGTTTCATAGCCCGTGGTTTAGAAGCACATATAATCTATCATCTAATGCTCTGACATATATACATCAACTTAAAAATTTAACTAGTGAGACCAACTATGTTGAGGTAATCAATGAGCAAGCTCACAATGGATTAAAGTCCTTGCTAATTCATATAGACCACAAAGGTTAATCAATATATCGGTTTTCCTTCAATGTCGAACTGGAATATGCTATAATTGATATAGTTTATTTACTATCCATCTCCATTAAAAATTTACAAAATATCAGTGAGTAGACTTAAGGTATGGTAGTGATGACCAAAGAATATCTACATTTGTGTATGCATGTTTGGATATATTTATGAATATGCATATGCATGTCTATGTGTATATAAACATATACATATACACATGTATACGTACATACATAATTCCATCCTATTACCTTAAAACTGCTTATGCTAACAAAGGGAAGATTTTAATTGTATTCATTTGTAAATGGTCAAATTATGATGCTGTGCACTTCGTTCGATTATTGCATAAGGTTTTAGATCAAAAGACTTTTCCATAATTCTTAGAGAAGATCCATGCAAATAAAACACAATTAGAAACATCTTTGTTTTGCTTTGTGAAAGAATACTGGCAAATCAGCTAAGAAGAAAACACTCTACCCCCTTCACACAGAATTATAGAAAGTGGATAAAAATACCTAAGATAAGCTGCTGGATACTTTGTACAGATATTCCAAAGTACCTCACATGATCCTACGATCACATGTATACTTACTACAAAATGCTTTGGGTGCTGAAAAAGGAAATAAGCACAAATGAAATCAACTCTTCATTATGAAAATATAAGTCTTAATATTTACATAGCTATTTTCATTTGATGACCATTACACACAACAACTGATTTTGCTGCTCTTAGTTTACAAATAGGAAACTTCAACGTTTAGAATGAATTTACTTATTGTCCTGCACCACATCTGCTGAATGAAAATGGTTTCCAAGCTTCATAAAATTAACTGATGATCCAGATAAAAAAAAAAAATAAATCATTTCGTCCTTTGGCCAAAACAATATAAAGTCAGAGATAAAGCACCAACTGTATCCAGTAACTAAACGAGCCTCATATATGTAGATAACATAAAGGATGTCAGGAGAGCACTTACCGGGGTCATCGGAAGGCATGTCAACAATGAGCTGGTCACTGTACTTTCCATATAAGCCATTAGTGCATATGGCTACTATCTGAAGCACGTAACTCATATTGGGTATTAAATTATTGAGAATAGCACCCTAAAAGAGAGATGCCAGTAATTATACAAATGTATTATAAGAGTCCTAACATAATAGACATCTACCTTTGGATAACATTTCTTATTTGCCGGTGGAATATTTATCTTATTAATCTAAGAAAAAATTTATGGGCTGTTGTTAAGTTGAACTTGTGATATTTGTGAATTAGGCTTTTTTGGTTTAGATATTAGTTTTAGAAAGTTTCATTTTGGGACGTCTGGGTGGCTTGGTCAGTTAAGAGGTTGCCTCCAGCTCAGGTCATGATCCCACGGTCCTGGGATCGAGCCTCACATCAGGCTCCCTGCTTGATGGGCAGCCTGCTTCTTCCCCTCCACCACTTATGCCCTCTCACATTCTCTTTCTCTCTAAAATAAATACATAAAAACCTTAAAAAAAAAGAGTTTCATTTTTACTAGAACTCATCAAATTCATAAACGAGTACCCCAAACTACAAAATTAAATATTTTAGACAAATAAACATGCAGCATTGGCAAAGAGCAAGATGTGAAAAATACAATGAACACCCAACTTATCTCTTAATCATAACAATATAGATGCCAGACAAGCTAGAATTATCTTCTCAACATCATTATGAAAAGAAAGAATGGCATATTCTTATAAATCGCACAGTGGATGTACTTCATAATGTCTCTGTTCTAGACACCCGGGTTAAAATGTTGTTATGTATTTTATCAGTTTAGTCCACATGATACTCAGCAGCGTGGTAACAAGGACAGTTTTTGTCCAGATGCAGATACCCAGACCTCGCGGGACGCCGGCCGTCTGAAGGCACAGTCAGTAGTGATTCCGGCCTGCCGTGGGGCTTTCCTGGAGCCATACCCAGACAGGGTCTTCTCAACTGGACCCCAATCTATGGCCAATCCCTCCCTACCAAGGCAAACTTTAATACTGAGATGCTCAAGTCACAGAAGGAATCTGTTACTTTTTTTTAAAAAGTATCAATTTTAATTCCGCCTAGTTAGTAGACAGTGCTGTACTGGCTTCAGGTGGACAACATAGTGCTTCAACTGTCCCATACCGTACTTTATTTTCTTTAATTTGCGTGCATGGCTGTGGAGGAAGAGGGAGTGGACCTTTGCCTCAAAATTATCTGCCTCCTATTCCAAAGGTTCGGACTCAGTTGATTTCACAGCTGCTACTTGGAAATTCGATGCAAAGAGTCCCCTACTGTATTTTTTTGTGCCGGCAGAGGATGGTGGGGACAACGATATATGACCGTATCAGAGCACTGAGATTCTACGTTCAATTATTTCCACAACTGTGAGAAAGTCAAGGTCATAGTCAAGGTATTTCGCTCTTTCTTGAGTCCCTTTATTTGTAAAGAGAGGCTACGCGAGATGAGTTTTAGTTCCCAAGTCTTCTGCAAGTGTCTGCTCTATAATGCTGTTGGTGGCCAAGCTGTGATCTTCCTGTCACTGAAAACTAGTAAGAACCTAGTGTGATTCACTGTGAGGTCTGACCTTGTTTGCTTGGTATAGCTTCTGCTCCCCTCCTCCCCACCGGAGCGTCTCACACAGAGTTTAGGGCGACAATATATCATCATCCGTTAAGTTCTCACCTTGAAAATTAAACGCTAGTGCTATCACTACATGAAACAACTGATCTTATACTTACCAAGTCTTGATAGCCGTCGGTCAAAAATTCACGCTTGGTTTGGTCTTCTCCCTCTAGCTGCTGATACAGAACGGCAAATTTCTCAATCATGGTATCATAAACCACTCGTGGTCTCTCCCATGTCACAAGCAGGCTGGTATAATTTTCTGGGTCAGCTTGGACATTTTCTGGTTCTGAACTACAAACTTGAGAGAGAGAGAGAGAGAAGGTACAATTAATGATACAAATGTCGGCCTCCAAGATTTTAACAAGTAAAACACATTCTACGAAAACGTGTTGCATTTAATTTCAACAGAAGGTAAAGCGTTACACTTCTCCACTGCAGAGCTTTTGCTTATGGCATCTCATGTACCTGGAACACTTTTCCTTCCCTCCTACCTCCACCTGCATCTACCTTCCCGTTCAGGAAAGGCCTAGGTCAGAGGGTCCCTCCTGTTATGTGGGCTCTGATCTCTGAAGCGATCTGGGTGGTTTTCAACTGTCTGTCCTAACACACAACTATTGCATTAGTTGCATGTTCTCTTACATTATTCTCTCCTCAAGAGGGCTTAAGTCCTATACTAGCTTATACACACAAGCATCACAGCTTTCTATTTCTATATTGCTTAGAATACTGTCTTGAATATATTTGGCATACAAATTCATTTTTAAAAATAAAGGATGTCTTCAAGCTCGTGATGTTTTTATTTCTCTTGTTTCATGTCCAACAGATATGTTTAACTCAGCATGAGGAGAATTTAAAATGACAACATATGGTCTGTTATCAGACATTGTTGTTGTTTCAAAATCCTCGAAATAGTGTAAAGTTCCCTATCAGAGAACACTATAGGAGAACAACTAAAGCTACCGTTTCTGTATTTTTCAGACTTGCTGACAAAAATCCCACGTTGGCAACTGATTTTAGGAAATTAGAAGATTTGTTTGTCTGATCTGAAAAAAGAGTTTGAAAATAGTTCAGGGACTTCCTAACAATGAATTCAAGCCCATGCTGGGAATCCTGTCAAAAATTTTGTCCCATTAGAAACAGGATTTTGATACTTCCTGAAGTATATTCATAAGGTGATAATTTGGACTAATTACAAGGATGAAAATCATGAAATTTCATGATATTGTGCTATTGGAGCAAAGCAATAAATATAATCCGTTCACAAGCCAGGTCAGTTTGCAAAAGAGGAGAAAGGTCTGTAACGCTAAAGACTGACATGGTCACAGAATCCAAGCTTTGCTCCTGGGAGACACCTGATGTTATGAAGCCACGAGATGAGACTACGCGGTCGACCTGAGTCAGCCGACAGCCGACAACCGACCGCTACAAAGACTCAGTGAGAATATACTCAGGATAGCATCAGGGTGGGACCAAAAAGGCTGTGGTCTCTCCCAGCTTGCAGTTTTGCTCATGAACACAAGAGAGCAGTCAAAACTAACACCTGACCGCGTAAATCGAAATCTGAATGGTCTCTGCATGTGTGATAACAGGAATTTGAGCCCATGTATGCTCTGCTGGCAATGGTATGTACATGATCCAGAAAAATATAAATATATATGCTTAATAATACATGCATGACTTTACATGAGTGAGAGACAGGAGGATTCACTGTACAAACTGTCATGTGTTGTTGTTGTTGTTTATTAAGGATTTAGGGTGAGGTGTTCCTTTGGGAATAAGAGGACAGTTCTCCAAAAATGTGAATTCATTAAAAAGCATGAATTCAGACTAAGACAAGGCATTCTTCTCCAGGTCTAGACGACATCATCACTCATCTAGGGACACTTCTTCAGTGGCCACGAGATGGCAGCAGACCGTCGATTATCCCCAAAGTGAGCCAGCCACGCTGGGAACTGTCCAGGGAGGAGCAGGATTGCCTGGGTCTCCCTGCTAGGGAAGCCCAGGTTCCTTCTGAGAAGGTCAAAGCAATTCTGGATAGTATCATGGGTAGACTTTGTCCCACAAAAAATCAATCCCCCTTTTTAGAAAGCGGGAATGATTTAAAGTGAACTATTCTCTTCCCCCCCAAAAATGAAACGATCTTAAAATTCATTAGAGTTGTACGCATGCACACAAAGCAAAAATCTCTTGAGAAAATAGAAAATTATTGGCCGCAAATGTGCCCAAAGGACTGCTGCTTAATTAACACACAATTACTTTGGCTGGATGTATGTGTTTATTCCGCCTTAATAGTTGAAACCCGCAGATGTTTCGAATTTTAAGAATCAGCATTAATATAAAGTAGGAGTTTAAAAACAAACTTGCATTTCCTTGTCATCGGGTTATTATTCCCCTTGCTTTCTGCGTTTTACAAATCTGTAAAAGCTTATAGGTAATTTAATAGTGTAGGCTTACATTTTAATTAGGGATTTATTATTTTTTTAAGATTTGTTTATCAGAGAGGGAGAAAGAGAGAGAGAGAGAGAGAGAGACTGTGTGAGCACATAGAGGGAGGGGGAGAAGCAGACTCCCCACTGAGCATGGAGCCCGACCTGGGGCTCAATCCAAGGACCCCGAGATCATGACCTGAACCAGACCCCCCGAGATCATGACCTGAGCCAGGCCTCTGAGATCATGACCTGAACCAGACCCTCTGAGATCATGACCTGAGCCAGGCCTCCGAGATCATGACCTGAGCCAGGGCCCCCGAGACCATGACCTGAGCCAGGGCCCCGAGATCATGACCCGAACTGAAGGCAGACGCTTAACCCACTGAGTCACCCAGGTGCCCCAGGAATTTTTTTAATGTTCCTTTTGTTTAGTGATAATCAACAGCTTAGTAATATGTTCTAAAACTTTAGCTAGACTTTATCATTTAGATGCTGAAAAAGATGATTTTATGGGAAAAATATACTTTAGAATGTGTTCCAGAGAAAAACCCGAACTGCTGTATATTGCTTATGGTCTTGCCAAAGGGCTGCCCTTCTACAGGGTAGGGATGGATCTTTAAAAGAACAATCTAGTTCATTCCATATACACTACGTTTGGTGTACACACAAAAAGCTGGGTAATGGTCATGGGGTAAGTTATTAATTTGCACTAAATTTTCCAGGTTTTCCTTACTGGAATTGGCTTATGTTATGTTCGCAGGATATATACTCTGTAATATAGCACTTGGATTAAAAACCAAGAAGAGTTTTCCAGATTCACATGTACTCAGACACCCAACACAAGCTACTAACTGATACAATAAATAGTAGCAAAACTAATTTTCTTCATCATGGGGAGTGCCAAGGGGCAGGGAGGCAGGGTTGGGGGGGTGGGGGGTTACGGAGAGGCCCGAGGGGTAGGGAGAGGCCCAGGGGTAGGGAGACCAGAGGATAGGGAGGCCGGGGGTAGGGAGTTCTGAGGGGTGGGGAGGCCCAGGGGCAGGGAGGCTGAGGGGCAGGGAGGCCTGCTTTCTTCAGGACTGAAGCCCACGCCCAATGCCTTCCACAGCCACTCGTGACCCAGTCACAGGTAGTGTCTTTGAGCAGCACAGGCCAGGAAGCGGAAGCTGATTCCCGTGGGCCCCCCGCCGGGCGCAGCCACGTCGGAGCTGGGGTCTGAAGCGGGTCACGCGGGGGACACCTTGTGCCCTGGCACCGGGCGAAGGCCGCTCACTCGGGAAGAACGGGGCCGGGGTCTCCTCTGCGAGCCACCGCAAGTGTCGCTCCTTTGAGGCCTCGTCACCGTCTGGGGCTGCACGAGCAGGGGGTGCGGTCCTCGCCCTCGGGGAGCTCAGTGCCAGGGCGGGGCAGGGGCAGGGCGGGGCGGGCGCTCCTGGGAAGGTGGAGAAAGTGTCACGGCTGTCCAGGACGTTCCCAGGATGTCCCCAGAACGTGCCCAGGATGTCCTCAGGACGTGCCCAGGACTTGCCCAGGATGTGCTCAGGACGTCCCCAGGACGTCCCCAGGATGTGCCCAGGACGTGCCCAGGATGTGCTCAGGATGTCCGCAGGACGTGCCCAGGATATGCCCAGGACGTGCCCAGGATGTGTCCAGGACGTCCCCAGGATGTGCCCAGGACGTACCCAGGATGTGCTCAGGATGTCCGCAGGACGTGCCCAGGATATGCCCAGGACGTGCCCAGGATGTGTCCAGGACGTCCCCAGGATGTGCCCAGGACGTGCCCAGGATATCCGCAGGACGTGCCCAGGATATGCCCAGGACGTCCCCAGGATGTGCCCAGGACGTCCCCAGGATGTGCCCAGGATGTCCCCAGGACGTGCCCAGGATGTCCCCAGGTTCAGCCCGGCTGTGTGCCCCGGGGCAGAGGCCGGTGCGGGTAACACAGCCCGCAGCCCCGCTGAGGCCCAGCTGCCCTGCAGACACGGGGGTCCCGGGGAAGCCCCAGCCAGGAGCCCGAAGGTCTACAGACTTGAAAGCAGGAGGGAGCAGCAGGTCATGACAAAGTGAACGTGAACGCCGGCACGAGTGTTAAAAGCCATAGCCCAAAGCGACCTGCCCCGATGTGACCCTGTCCGCGGTGGGACCCTGTGCGCAGTGGCGTCCTGGCCTCAGGTGAGGGGCCGGAAGGCGTCTTTCAGCTTCCAGCCCAGTCATCAGCCTTCCAGGGGACACATGGTCCTGACTTCAACAAGATACAGGACCTTCTAGGGAGAAAATGACCCTCAGGTCACTCTTCTGCATACAGCTGGAGGCCAGGGGTCACGGCCACGCGACCTTAACGGATGCTATTTAAAGCCACTGACCTTCAGGAAGGCGAGTCTACTGCTGTTTAATTCATCATGACATTTTTCAGGGAAGTAGAGAAAATGTCTCGCGACTCAAAGGCGGTTTTAGGCTGCAGGGTCAGCCTTTCATGCAAACCTGCCTTGAAAAGCATTTTCTATCATATTTTTTTAGACTGTTTGCAGTGAATGTATTGCAATGCTAGCAAGTGAAATCTGAGGTGCGTTTATGATCCAATTCAACAAGCCAAAGCCTTAAAACATGAAAAGCTTGAGGAGCACCCCACACCTGTTGTGATAGCTTGCCCCCCCCATGCACACACACACATGGCTGTGTGCATGCAGACACTACACGCATAGCAGCGGCAAGTCTGGGACATATTATGTTCGAGGGACTGTACTGCTTTACAGACTTTAGCCCATTTAAACCTCACAACAAGGTGGTCCGATTTTATAGGTCCAGTAACTTGACAATCTTTTAAAGACTCTATCTATCTATCTATCTATCTATCTATCTATCTATCTATCTATCTATCATCTATCTATCTATTTTAGAGACAGTGTGTGAGCTTTTGTGTGCATGCGCGGGGCAGGGTGGGGAGGAGGGTGGAGAATCCCAAGCAGATTCCTCGCTGAGCGCAGAGCTTGAGGCGGGCCTGACTTGGTGACCCAGAGATCATGACCAGAGTCGAAATCAAGAGTCAGGCGCTTAACTGACAGAGCCACCCAGGCACCCTGTGACTTGACAATTCTTATTTAACCAGTAAGTACTGGCAGCAGGGTCTGATACCAGAGGCCGACTGGGTTTTAAAGCCCCAGCTCTTCCCCCGCTGTGCTCCGGGAGGTCCCTGTTTCTTAGTTGTGGGAGAGACCTGCTAGGAAGGCGGCAGGAGAGCACGAAGTTGAACTTCACCTCCTTCACACGCATGCTGTGTTAGTTAGTCACATGCTGTGACAGTTAGTCACACAGATGTCTCATTATCGAAGACAGTTTTTACGGACTCCTTCAAGGTTCTGTTAAATTCTGTGGTTCTTAGAAGAGGCGGGGTCCATCCCACGATGCCAAAAAGAAATGTCTCTAATAAAGGGCAGCTCTACACAGAGACGCAAAAACACAGGGCCAAAGTTCTAGTAAAATAGGAGTAAAATGAGTTCCTGCTATGAATGCAAAAATGAACACGTCTTAATCTGTACCTTGCGGGAGTTTACATAGATATACAGACCTCACGTGGTTTTTGCAATTATTTGCAGTGTGTTTTTTGCAAAATGTATTTTTTCCACAGTGCATTTACTAAAAACCATATTCTGACAATTTTCATGCCACCCCTTCTCTCTTGGTCAAAATGAGGATGCTAGATATTTGCAATGTCAAAGTATACTAATGCAACCTGAGTGTCCAAAATTGAGCAGCTGGATTAGTAAATTGTTATGACTATACAATGGAATACTACACAAAATTAAGAATGCTGTATTGATACATTTGTATCATCGAGTAAAATAAAATCAACAAACATATATGTACTGTAGTCTCATTTTTGTGAGGCATAAGAATATATTTCTAATTTAAGAGAAAGTCCTGAAAGGATAGTCACCAAAATCCTCATGGTGGTGATCTCTGGGCCATGACATTACATAGGATTTTACTTTTTTTCCTATGTGTTTATATGTGTTCTCTGCCTTTTTAAATAATGTTCATATAATTAAAAACTTATTTCCAGATTAAATTTAATAAAGATTAAATCCAGGACATAAATGCAATCCTCAATTTTTATTCTCAAATTAAGTCCCAGAAACTAGAAGGGGTATACTGTGTCCATTAAGAAGAAAATCATCACAGGAATATGCCCAGGAATATGCAAATAATAAATGCAAATACTCATGATGGGAAAATCAAGAATTCAATCGTTCTAGTTTTTGAAAAAAGCCAATGCCTTTTTTTTTCTTTTGGGTAGGCTCCATGCCCAAGGGGGGCCTTGAACACAAGGTCCTGAAATTAAGAGTCTCACATCCTAACGAGTGAGCCAGCTAGGCACCCTGCCAATGCTATTTTTTTTTTAAAGTGTCATGTCATTAAGGCCATCAGTTTTTGTTGTAAAACTTGGGAGGCTTTAGAATCAGATCTGTGTTCAGGTATAAAGATATAGTTCTGTGCAGGGCAAGCCACTTAGCATCAGCTTCCCAAACTGTAAAACAAGAAAAATAAGGCCAACTGCACGCTGGCGTTGGGAAGCTGCAATCAGATTCACACGGTTCCATGCCCAGTTAAACCACTGGTGGACACAATACATGGTGATTATTGCTGCTTTTGTTGTTATTACTTGGTTTCATCACTTATCTGTGAAAAGAACAATGTCCTACACAAAGTTTAGACATAAAACAGTGCAAGAGGCACCCATCAAGCATAACTTTTTTTTTTTTTTAATGATTTTGTTTATTTTAGAGAGAGTGAGTGCATGAAGGAGCATGAGCAGGAGTGGAGCATAAGGGGAGGCAGAGTGAGAGGGAGAGAATCTTAATCAGACTCCAGGTGAGGGCTGAGCCAGATGCTAGCCTCCGTCTTACAAACCTGAGATCATGACCTGAGCAGAAACCAAGAGCTGGCCACTCAACGGACTGAGACACCCAGGTGCGCCCTGCTAAACTTTTATTATATGAAAACGAATTCTTTCAGCGAATATTTGCTGAATGAGAGCCTTGTATTAGCCCAGCAATGGAGGTAAAGATTTAATTACTTCCAACACGGAGCCATGTCCAGTGGGGGAGGCAAGTAAGTAACAGACAATTCTTATACTGTGGCAACTGCTACACACTTTGGATGCACGGAAATGACACTACTCCATGTGAGCAACACTGATTTTGTCCTCCATGAGCACGGCACCTTCACACCTGCACAGTCCTATGCCCGGGCCACAGCCAGGCTTGGTGAGGATGGAGACAGACTCAGAGATGGCTCCCCAGTGGATACAAAGTCTGCTTGAGTGTTGAAGAACAAGGAGGAGGCAGGCAAGTGAAGACAGCAGAGAAGACAGCCATGGAAAGGAAATAGCATGTAAAATACAACCTGGGAGAATGTGATCTTCCATCTTCACGGGATATCAAAGAGTCCATTCAGTACAAGAGAAGGAAGCCAGTGGTGGAGAATAAATGCTAAAACAAGTAAGTGCTAAACAGAACCATGTAATGATGAATGGTTTGGGTTTTATTCTAAAAGCAATGGAAAGCCACTGAAGGGTTTTAATAAAATACAACTGACAAAAGTATATAGCAAATAAAAATCATATTTATTTAATATGTTATTTGATCTATTGTATTTTTTCAAAGGAGATGGTTAAATGTAGTTATTTTTTTCCCTAATCAATTCTCTATTATTTACCAGCAGAATGTTATAAGTATTTAGTACTGCTGGTAGAAATATAATGAAATTTCCTCACTTTGGGGCAATTCAATTAGAAATTTATTGTCATGTTACATGTAGCTAGCTATTCATCTCTGTTGTCTTGTGCTCTATTTTACTGTTGTTGTTAAAGGATAAATACTTCTCATAAACATTACATTAAAATAATAAAAACATGCTGTTTTAATGCTAATCCTCAAAAGCAGATGATTATTAGATTAATATTATAGATGGCCAAAAATTCATTGTACAGCTGAGATCAAAGAAGGCCATGTACTTGGAAATGTTTTAAGTCCCCAAAGCAAAGGCTATTTCACCTATTTGTTTCATCAACTGGTACATTATCAATGTCAATGGAAAAGGAAAAGTCAGTAGGTGTATCTTATTGTGTTCTCTGGACATCTTCAAAAGCTTATGACTGTGTGTCAACTTCAAAAGACACAGAGGGCACTCTGGACGTCTGGAGACGTCTCCCCAGTGTTCTCTCCATTGCTTGGCCCTGACAAACATCTTTTCCCCCAAAGAAGGAAACTGGGGGAAAGACTCCCTTTTTATTCATTAAGAATACAGTCCATTTGCTTTTCATCCCCACTGCATGTTATACTCTTCCATCAGAGCTGCCAACACAAAGACTAGCACTTTACACCCCAAATCATGCACCAAGTCTTAGCTCAAATGTTGTTGTCTCACCGAGGCTCCTGACCACCCCAACCAGAAGTGACCTCCCCAAGCTCTGTGGACCTAAGCCGTGTATGCATTCATTTGTGCTGAAGCTCTTAGCACAAACACTAATGTGCATTTGGAAGTTTGTGCATGTGGTTTTGCCATCTATTACTATGTGTTTAATAATCACTTTCCTTACTGAATCTCAGTATTTCCCATCTGCAAAACGGGATTATTCCGGTGGGGAAGAACAGCTTTATTTATTTATTTATTTATTTTAAAGATTTTATTGATTTATTTTGAGAAAGAGAGAAAGAATGTGAAAGTATGCAAGCAGAAGGAGAGACAGAAGCGGAGGGAGGGAGAGAATCTCAAGCAGACTCCATGCTGAATGTGGAGACCAACATAGGGCTCAATCACATGACCCTGAGGTCATGACCTGAGCTAAATTCAAGAGTGGGATGCCTAACTGATTGAGCCACCCAGGAGCACCAAGGAGAGCTCTTTTTACATGTTATTTATAAATGTGGTTAGATTCAGAGAAGTCAAATAGCTTACCTAAAGCTATAAAGCTAATAATCAAATATTTCTAAAATCTAAGTCTTGTATATTTCCCATTATTCCACAATTATCTGCTATAACATTGAATCTGTAAAAGTAGTAGAAGAATTATATTTCAATACATACCTGCTTCATGAATCTCTTCCTTTCCAGTATATGAGGAAAACACCTGCCTAGAGAATTTGTACTGTTGTTCTCGGAAATTATTTTGTAAATAGTCCATCAGCATGACATAACCAGACTGCTGCATTGTAAGAACTTCACAAAACACAGCCAACTGGAAGAAAAACATCATTTAACATGTAACTTAACATATCTGCTTCAAAGGCATCTGCAAATGCTTTAAAATACATATTCAGTAGTAAATCTCAGAAAGTAATTATTTTTAAGTTACTTCAAATTTCTGCATTTGTTTGAATTTCCAAGATTACCTGGCTTTCAGAGATGCTAACTGTATCTTTAAAAATAATCCAGTCCACAGTGTCTGTGCAGGGAGGAGATGTCAATGAGCCGTTGTAAGTGTAATACTTGTCAGTTGAGTTTGGCAGAAGGTTCAGCAATATGAAGGGATCTAAGGCAGCCTGTTTCCCTACAAAGTAACAACATGCATCTCGGTTGGAATCTCAACACCTGAACTTGAGTGGCTCAAGGCTTCTATGAAACAGAGGCATATGGTTTGTTATAAATGTAATAAGAAATGAAACTAAGAATATTTGAGATACATTTCAAAAATGGTGACAAAACCAACATATTTTGAATTTCTTTATAAATATCGCTACGTAGGGTTAAATGTTTCAACTTTCAGAGTCTGATTTCTCAACTGGAGAGATTATTTCACATATAAAATATATTCAGAAATCATGTAATCATCTTAGTAGATACATTAAAATCATTTGAGAAGACTTAATACCAGTTTGAGGAAAACATCAAAAGCAAAACCATATTCTGGTAAAGATTATTTTCAAAAGCCTGTATTTAAGAATGACTTACTGGGCAAGTTTTCCTCCTAGAGATAAAGAATGAGAGAAAAAACTCCTGCTATCACCATTTCTAATTAACCCTGAACTGGAGGACTGGGGCAGTGCAATAAGGTAAGAAAAAGAAAAAAGTCATAAAGATTGGATATTTTCCAAATACATGATTGTGCATGGAAAACACTGAAAAGGATTTATAGACTTAGAATTAAAAAATATATTTTGTAAAGTCACTGTACATAGGACCAATATACCAAAATTAATTTTATTTCTATGTACTGGTATCAAATAACAGAAAATGAAACTTAAAACAACGTAACAAATATCAAATACAAGTAAACCTAACAAATGATGAGTATGACATCTACAATGACAATCACAGAACTTTCTTGAGAGAATTAGATAAAAACCTTAAAATGATGGGAAATAGTCAGAAGATTTAGTATTGTGAAGGTGTTGATTGTCCCCAAACTGATTTATGGAGTCAACAAATCCCAGAAGCTTCTGTACATGAGTGTATGTATGTGTATTTACTGACATGCTGATTTTAAAACTTAAATGGAAAACAAAAGTTAAGACAATCTTGAACAATAACAAAGTCACTGGAGAACTTTCACTACCATGTAAGAAGATCTATTTTATTAAACTATAGAAATCATGACAGTGACATATTCATGAAAAGATAAAGAGAATAATGAAAGAGAATAGAGAACCCAGACCCATACATATAGAGTCACTTGGTTTAAGACAGGAAAAATTACCATGTAGTGGGAACAGACAGCCTTTTCAGTAAACAGTGCTGTATCAATTGGCTGTCCTCATGGAAAAGCTGAATCATGATTCCCTACCTCACACCGTAAGCACCATGAGTTCTAAGTAAATTAGAGATCTAAATGTGAACAGAATCATAAGGCTTTTTAGAGGAAAATAGAAAATTATTTTTATGACTTTAAGGTAGGCTGAGATTTCTGAAATGGCACACAAGAAGGTTTCACCATAAAGGGAGAAATGATGACGTCTAATACATGATAATTAAGATCTATTTATCAAAAGCCACTACTAAGGAAATACATGGTAAGACAGGATGGAAAGCATAGTCTGGATACAATATACAGGATAATAAATATGGATTTTATTTCTATATATAACAATAATGATTTTATATCTTGTGCCCAGAATAAAGAATTCCTTTTTTTAAAAAAAATGATTTTATTTATTTATTCATGAGAGACACAGAGAGAGGCAGAGACAACAGGCAGAAGGAGAAGCAGGCTCCCTACAGGGAGCCCGATGTGGGACTCGATCCCAGGACCCCGGGGTCCTACCCTGAGCTGAAGGCAGATGCTCAACCGCTGAGCCCCTCAGGCTCAGAATAGAGAATTCCTATTAAAAAATTGGTAGAACTTTCCATCTGGCCTTACACCTCTGAAACATTCCAACTGTATCTTTTTCCTAGGATCCTCCCATTTTTGCTTTTGGATCTTCCCAGCAGCACTTGTCAGTAGCACCGTCTTGGCTACTCAGCTTTCCGCCTACCAGCCCTCACTCAGACAGCAATGTGCCAGCCAGAGGACATGTGTCCCCCTCCCCTCCCCATCCCTTGTCCTCCTCCCCTCAGAGCACGCCCCACCGGGTGCGGGGGACTGCCCGCCCCAAGCTGGGGGCATGTGCACTTAGGGCCTCGCCCGGGAGCCCGACGCTACTGTGGTCATCACAGCATCTCACGAGTTGATGAGAGCATCATCCGTGTGGCGCTGTGGAAACTGAGCAGGTGGTGGGAGCTGGGGGTGCGCGGGGCGCACAGGGCGCGGCGACCGCACGAGCTGCGGTGGGAGGACCCCCGGGCCTCAGCCCCCTGAGGCCCCGGCTGCTGCGGGAGAAGCACCCCCCGCTGCTTGAGCCCCAGGCCTCAGCCCCCTGAGGCCCCGGCTGCTGCGGGAGAAGCACCCCCCGCTGCTTGAGCTCCCCGAGGCTACCCGGAGGCCCCGGGGCTGCACAGGAACCCAGGACGCCTCTACCCGCCGGCCACAGCGTCAGCCGGCTTTCCGATCAGCTGCGGAGCTTTAAATAAAAACACGTGTTGGGGATCCCTGGGTGGCTCAGTGGTTTAGCGCCTGCCTTTGGCTCAGGGCGCGATCCTGGAGTCCCGGGATCAAGTCCCGCATCAGGATCCTGGCATGGAGCCTGCTTCTCCCTCCTCCTGTGTCTCTGCCTCTCTCTCTCTCTCTATGTCTATCAGAAATAATAAATAAAAAAAATATAAAAAAAAAAAAACAAAAAACCCCACCAGTGTTCCAGACCCCACCCGGACTGATTTAATTTAAATCTCTAGGAGTAAGGCCTGCGCATCTCCATTTGCAGGAAAGCATCCCCTGGTGATTTAAACATGCAGCCGGCACTGAAAACCCAGAGTAGGGGCACCTGGCGGCCCAGGGCGCGACCCCGGGGTCCCTGGGATCAAGTCCTAGGTCGGGCTTCCCACACGGAGCCTGCTACTCCCTCTGCCTGGGCCTCTGCCTCTCTTTCTGCGTCTCTCTGAATAAATAAATTAAATCTTAAAAAAAGAAAAAGAAAACCCAAAGTACAGTGAAGCTTTTGCAAGATGTTAGGTCTTTTTGAACCTTCTTTCCACCTGATAAAGTAAAATGACTGGCCTAGATTATTTTCATAGTCTATTCCAACTCTAAACTCCATGAAGACTGGGCATATCCAGAAAGCCTCAAAGAAAAAGAAATCCATTTAGAAGTTAAATTACTGAATGCTAATTTTTCTACAATCCAGAAAGTTTTGAAGGAAGGAGGGAATGATGGTAATAATTAAAATTATAGATAATTGCTTCCAGTCTGAAATTAAGACTGAAACTTAGAAATGAAAATCTGCTTGGCTGAATCGATAATGTTGTGTATATACAACCTAAATCTAATTTTAAACCGTTGGAAAATTCAAGTTCTGCTTGGTTTAGCAGATTCATTAGTAACTTCTAAAAGTATGTCTCCCTCTCTTTTCGTATCAACATGAGATTATCAGAATTCAGACTTGGATTCACGTTATCTGAAACTGAGAAAAATATCTTTAATATGTGAATGTTTCCCACTTTCAGATTTATGCTTTTAATATCCAAGAAATGTCATGATTAAATAGCCTCCTTCTTAATCATCAGTGGGCTACAACTGTTTCTTTTTTCTGCTGAAGATGAAATTTATCTTACAAATGTTCTGTGGAAATGCGGATGTGGAGAATACTAATTAAGTCAGGAGCCAAACATTGACTCACTGCTAAATTAGGCGGGAAATGAAATGACACCGTGAGAGTTTTGAGGCCAGAAAGGGAAGAAAGGAGGTGAGATCTGAATAGGGATGGTGAAACAGAGAATTTTCTTGAAATACTGTTTTGTACCTTGTTTTTAAAATGTTATTTACATATACATCCTGGACTTCTGTCTTGGATATCACAGGACTTTTCAATTACAGTAGAGCTTTTCAATTAGGCCATGGTCTTTCAAGAAAATTGGAATAAGGTAATTTTTTTGAATATACGTCTAGCAAAGACATTTGCTTCCTCTGAATCACCTCACTACTGTTAACACAGGCGAGAATCACACCTGAGTCAATGCGGCTGTATTGGCAACCAGTCACTATTCATTTGAACACACATTGGTGACTAAATCATCAACCAGATGCTCCCCTTTTATAGGAGGTTGCTAGCAAGGGGGGAAGATGAATAGGAGGGAGATAAGGAGACAAAGACCGTGACAGGGTCACGCATAGGGAAGAGCCCCTAAATACCTGACCGACTCTTGCTACTTAGGGCGGTAAGATTAAGATGGGGCCATGTCAACACAGTCTGCAAGGACTTTTCAGTATACAAATTCCTGGGCTGAATTTGTGATTAAGAAAGCATCAGAAACCGTCCTTATGCCAACTCCCAGTTGAGAATCACGGATAATGTTCCCTGGAGTGTGTCTCTTCCTCTGCAACTTGGAAGAGTCCAACCAACCAACAGTTCTCTTGTTTTCGTGGACTCCGCTCGGGGAATACCAACATGCTAGCCTGTGTCGATGCCACCTCACCTGCTCTCTCGCCCAACATGGAGCAGGTATGGTGGAAGGAAGGGAAAGAAGGAGAGGTCGGAGTGGGGAACGGATGGGACATGGGTCTGTCTTTTGGAGGAATATAAGAAATGAGGAATTGGTCCACGTTGGAATAAGAGATTTCATAGTCTCGATGATCGCGGAAAAGTGTTGCTTGTTGAACAACTGACATTCTGCGGAGAATATGGAGCAGGACTGGGGAGCGAGGCTGTAGCTCCACGTCACCGCCTCCCGGCCGCCACGGCCAAAGGCCAATATTGGGAAGCCTTCAGTTTATGGGGCACGAGGGGATTTTCTAGACTCTGAGATAGATTTAGTCTAAGAACTCTCAAAATAGAGACATTTACCTTTCAGAGGATTTCACTATTTAGTTTGTACAGATCATATCTAATAACCATTCAGGTCAAATTGACGCATATAACTAATACGAATCCCTACAGTGTAGAGGGAGCAAATTCTGTGGACAGACCAGGATCTGCACCCTGGCTCTACTACCACTTCTTAACCATATAAGCTCACGTGTCCTTGCTGACTATATTGAAATATTAAGTATCTAGTGGGGCAGGTGATACACCTGCAGGATTATTATTCTCTTTTCTGGTAAAGGAGGAGGAAAGAAGCCGGTGCACAGGTAGCAGGGCAGAGACTCAGAGAGCAGAGGACCTGGGGGCAGATTGGGAAGTGGCCCCAGGCAGTCCGAGAGACAGGAAGTTCTGTTTCCAAACTAAGAGCCAGGAGACAGGACGAATGGCGCTGCTGGGAATCCAGAATCTCAGGGAGGTTATTAGGCGGCAGCCGAGGCTCCGATGAAGCGCTTCCCTCAATGGCTTGCGCACAGTTAACATTCAAAAGGAAACCTTAGCCAAAGAATATGAGCAAATTGGTTCTTAAACTCCTGTGAGCCTCAAAGGACGCTCCTAGGGAGACCCAGAAACAACGATGAAGCCTTGGGAACAAGCGGCCCAAGTGCCGCAGCGGCACAAGTCAGGACTAACCCCCTCTTGTTGGGACTTGGGGCTGCCGCAAGGCCTGGGGACATTCAGAGTTCATCTTCCGCACGAGTTTCAGTGTAGGGATTCAAACAAGTTGCCTTCTTTCAGTCTTGATAAAATCCACTTTCCGACTAAGTGAGGGAAAAATTAAGCGTGGCTTATGGCATTCAGTGCCCAATTCCGCAATCGAGTGGATGGAGGAAGGTAACAACTTCATCTTGCATTTGATTGCACCTTTCAAAAAAAAACCCAATGAAAGCAGCCCTGTGTGAGCTCACCAATTCCTGACTTCTGCAAAGTTCTGTCCATCAAGATCATCACATGTGGGCGACAGAGAGGAATCAATGCTAGGCCTGGCTTTTGCTTTCAAAAAGGATCTATATGAATTTGGTTCCTGCTTTCAAAATTTTGCAGCTTCCTGGAGAGGAATGATTCTTATTTTAGCAGTAACTCAGAGCAGCAGCTTTAATACCGTGTGTGTGGATGCTTACTAAAAATAAAATAACAATAATAACAGGTTGGCTGTCTGTTGCCCATGTTGTCACGAGCATTCACCGTGACAAATGCCAAGATCCACGGTGGAACAATATCAAAGCATATGGCATCTTCTTCTATGTAAGTGTTTGCCTTCTTCCAAAAACCCTGTCATACTGGAAAAGCAAAGGACCTATCAAGGAAACCACCAGGAAATAAATTTTAACTTGAGTAATAATTCTCTTTTCAGTTTAAAATATGATGTTTATGAAATTAACTGGTCTCAGATTATAGAGTCTTTAACAAATGTACAATGCAGTCAGAATGGATGAATACATTTTATTTTTTAAAGATTTATTCATTTATTTGAGAGAGGGAGAGAGCATGCTCCGGCGCATGTAGGGCACAGGGGGAGGATGGAGGGAGACACAGAACCCTAAGTGGATTTCTCACTGAGCATGGAGCCCAACTCGGGGCTCAATCCCAAGACCTGAGATCATGACCTGAGCCTAAATCAAGAGTGCGATGCTTAACCAACAGAGCCCCCAGGCGCCCCCAGAGTAGATAAACACATTTTAAATGCGTGATGTCATTATCTTCAAGAATAAAATCGGAAAACTTCAATTTCCTGCTTAACATGAACATTTTATGATTTTTATAAGACAAAAATTTCAGGTAAAATATTCTTTAGTGAGACGTGTAATAAATCGTCAAGTGTGAGAACTGAACGATTGCTCTTCTTTGAAAAGGTCTTTCCTTCCTCCTCTTGGAACAAGTTACATTTGTAATATTATAAACATTCACATGCATCCAAAGGAGAAATCTGGAAGAAAGAGATTTCTCCAAAGAGCTTACCGAAACGGCTGACACTCTCGACTCCGTCAATAATTGCTTTGTAATCCAGATTTTCTTCCATGCCAACCTATTAAAGAAGAATGACATTCTAAGAATGGGATAAAACATTTGATTAACTCTTCTTCAATGACTCTTATTTGATGACTCTTCAATGAAAAGATGAATGCATTGCATTTTCAGTGCCCAAAAGCAAAGTCCTCCAAACGCACACTTGTTTTTTAAACAGGGAGATAAAAACAAGTAACGTGCACAGAAATCGGCTACCTTTTCAATTCTGCACTGAGAAAAGTACAGCGTAAAACTGCGGCTTCACAGCCCCTGCTCCACGTGCTTAGGATGCTGTGCGAGTCCCCAGGGGCCAGTCCGGGCTGCACAACAGCTGCTCGCGGGAAGCCACGTACCCCATCAGTGAAAGCAAGAGCCCCCTCTGCCACACAGCAGCCAGGGGGCTGTTCTGTTTGAAGACCATCACCAGTTATTCCCACTTGCGAGCTCTTCCATCAAAGAGCATGCCTCAAAACGTCATATCAGGTGATCGCGGAAGGAATTAGGTTAGCGTTCGATCTACGCATCATGATTACCTCGAACAGAACGGATAAAGCTCTTAACTTCCCTTTTGCTTTTACTGCTTCCTCAAAACTTGAAAACCGGTCCGCGTCAAAGCAGTAGATCTGCATCTGCGGATGCAACAGTGACAGCTTTATTATACACGAGGACATCCAAAGGGCACCACAGGAGCGATAAAGTAATTCACCAATTCAATAAATACTATTAGAAAGGCTCTTTAAAGCTGCATGATTCTATATTCTGTACAGTTTCAGAATCTTTTATCCATTACACGTGTAGACGCCTGCATTCACTAACACTTACCACCCTGCAGGGAGGAAGGAAATGCAACGTGAGACACATGGAGGACAGAAACGGCCGCAATGGGGCTAACAGGGAATACTGAGGCAATAACATCCTAGAAAAGCCGTCTCATAAGATAAACTATCAAATATCACTGTGACTATTTTTTCTTTTTCTTTCTTCCTTTCTTCCTTTCTTTCTTTCTTTCTTCCTTCCTTTCTTCCTTTCCTTTCCTTCTTTCTTTCTTTCTTTCTTTCTTTCTTTCTTTCTTTCTTTCTTTCTTTCTTTCTTTCTTTCTTTCTTTCTTTCTTTCTTTCGTCACACAGAGAGAGAGAGGCAGAGACATAGGCAGAGGGAGAAGCAGGCCCCATGCACCGGGAGCCCGACGTGGGATTCGATCCCGGGTCTCCAGGATTGCGCCCTGGGCCAAAGGCAGGCGCCAAATCGCTGCGCCACCCAGGGATCCCCACTGTGATTATTTTGTTGGAATTCTTTCAAGTGTGGTTTCATCTTTGGCTGGACGTGCCTTTCCTAATGGTCTGGGTTACCTTTTGGACATTATCATACCACCTTTCAGTTCTTTTGAGACTTCTGTATTTATTTGAGAGCGAGCGAGAGAGGGTGCTTGTGGGGAGGAGGGACAGAAGGGGGCGGGGACGGAGAACCTCAAGCAGACTCTGCACTGAGCTCAGAGCCCAGCACAGGGCCTGATCTCCCAACCTTGAGATCATGACCTGAGCCGAAGGCAAGAGCCGGGCGCTTGGTGGGCTGTGCCGCCCGGTGCCCCCGCGTTCTGCTAATGGTGAAATGCTCAAGGACTCTCCGCATCTACCTACAAAATACCAAAAAGAATTTCAAGGTCCTATTCCGAGTGTCCTGTCCTGCCGCCAGGCTGTGTCCCTTGTGAGGTTCTCCTTCAGCCTTTCCTCTCGCTGCTCACCGTGCACCCCATGTCCCGAGCGTGGAAATCGGGCCCCTCAGCCTGTTGGAAAGCCTCTGCCAAGGCCGATGCTGGGTTGGAGCCGTGACTGGAGAGACAGCAGGTGTGAGGGCCAGGACGGCCGTGGCTCCTGCCCCAGGTGATGGCAAAGACTGCTGGGAGAGGGGCTGTAAACCAACCTGGCGGGGGGGCAGCTGCAACACTGGTGGAGGAGGTGAAGGCGGGTGTGGGCAGGGGGCGGGCAGGGGGCAAGAGGGGAGGACCGAGGGCACTGGGAGGTAGCTGGCTGTGACTGCAGCTGAGCACACGGCCGAGAAGACACGATGGTGGGGGACAGGCAGGGGCCACTCCATGGGGCTCTGGGGAACGTAGGGTCCCTCCAGCCACCTGGGCCGGGGGCGGGGGCCAGTTCCAAGGCAAGAGACAAAGGTGGGCCGCGGTCCCTCCGCCCTCCCACCTCACCTAGGGCTGACCTGAGAGGACGGGGTGCAGGAGCCAACCCCCACCAAGTCAAGGATGCCCTGAGCTCCCTGTGTACACCTTGCTGGACAGAGTCCAAGGAAGAGAGACAACAAACACACGGTCCCTGGGAGAGAACCCGAGGGGCTTTCTAATAAGAAGATGTCTGAGGTGTAGTGCACAGATGCTGCACCATTTGTTCTGCTGGTGCAGGGGCTTGTGTGGTGAGGGGTTTTCTTCATTCTCCTCTTTGCTCTAAATGAGTAGTATTGTGACAGAGTGAATCTCCCTGACGGGAGAACGTTCTATGTGTAAGGCATTGACTCTTATTTCCTTCGACAAACCAAATTTGATGAATGTGCTTTTCCTTAAGGATAATTAATATCCTTAACAGTTATCCACTGAAAAAAATGGATCAGCTGTAAATCAGAATGTGCTTATCCACATTAAAAGCTTTTTAGTTCTTTAACGGATAATTCACTCATCTTATTTTTATTCTCAATAATAACTATTTTGACAACGAAAGGAACACAGTTTCATTACAACTAACTTTAAAAATATGGGAATTTTGAAGGAGAAAAGAAAAGGCACCTATCAGGCCATCACCCAGGGAAAATCACTGTTCATGTCTTCTTGGCTTCCCTCAATTATTTTTACAACAGTAATAATTCTCTCTCTCATTTAATGTTCATAATAACTTCATAAGGCAGGTGCTACTCCTCTTATGTCACTTTCACAAGGGACACATGGAAGCTCAGGTAAATTAAATATTTGCATAATGTCACGTCCATGATTCCTAAATGGTGAAGTCAGTAGTCAACCCTAGTCCATCCGACTCAGACTCGGGGCCCTCAGTCACTGTTTAACGAGTTTCCATGTTTTACAAAATCAGAGTAATGATACTGCAATATTATTTTATTTTCTGCTTTTTAAAAGCAGTAATATCTTAAAAAAGAAAAAACCCATTAATATCTCATGATGAACCTTTTCTGTGTAAATAAGTCATTGAAACACATGATTTTTACAAGATCTGTAATATTCCATCATAATATATTTTTAAATACATTTTTATTCGGTAATTTCTAATTTCTACACTGAATGTGGGGCTCAAACTTCCAACCCGGAGATCAAGGGTCACATGTGTCACAGACTGAGCCAGCCACAAGCCCCTCCATCATGATGTATGCAACCATTTCCTTTTCTTTCAATTTTTTATTATTAAATATCTTTGCACATACATTTTTGAGCCTGTTTTTATTTTTTAGACTAAATTGTTATGAGTAGATATGGTGGGCATTGGGAATAAAATGTGTAAAGTTCTGGATAAAAACAAGGAAAATACCAATTTATACTCTTTCCAGATGTATCAAAGCATTTGTTGTATACTCATTATTTATTTGTATATTTTTTTTACAAAATTCAAAACTGAAAAATGTTCTCATTTTATTTTGCATTTCTCTGATACTCCAGTAAATTGATAAAATTTTCTTTTTTTTTTTCCCTCTCCTCCTGAGCTGTAAGAGGAATTTCATTTCTTTTACTCAACATCTGCTCAGATGTCAGACATCTATAGTGTGGCCCCCTGGGTTGCAAGAAGTGGAAAATCAAGTATAGGTCTTACTGAGCTTAGTCCAGTGAGGAAGGTAGATATCAACCAAGAAACCAGACAGATATAACTATAAATTATAAAATTTGATCATAAATTAATCAAGTCATACACTACATAAAAATCTAGATGGTTTAGAAAACGAAACAGAGTAACCCGTGGAACCAGACTTACTTCAAGTGGAAATTTTTGTCCTTCTAAACTATGTTCTGATCCTTCAGAAGACATATTGCATTTTCCCCAGTGGAAACTTATCTTGCTTGCTTTGAACACCATTTCTGAAACTCCTCCACTGAGACGGTAGTCATTAGTGAGATTAATCTCCACTTTAGAGAGAGAAAAAAAAAAAAACAACAACACAGAATTGCATCTCTTTCTGAACATCAAAATTACAAATTTCAACTAACTTTTCCTCAGTCAAAGGTACATTAAAAAATTATTTGCTAAATGAAAAACAATGAAGTTGCCATTTGGAAGCTAAGCTTGTAACTCTGCAAAGATACACTGGATGTATCTCAGTGAACTAAGACAAGGACCTTCACTGCCGTAGGACTCGAACCGCAGCAGGCAGCCGGTCCCTCTGTCCCTCTGCCCTGTTCTGCTTGGTGTCCCGAAATCACCTGCCCCACAGCTCTGCTTTCCTAAGGCATTTGATGGTGGTGAGGGGACAGCGCAGAGAGAGAAGGAACAGAAAAGTGGAGAAGAAATGTCTTCCCTTGGAGGTGCCCCCCCTCACTTTCAACCCTCCCCACTCCTTATCAGCAGGTGTCTTGTCCCATGTCCTGGTCCCTGCAAGCAGGCATCATCCCAGCTTCAGGAGGCTCCCGCACTTCTGTCTGGTGGGAAATCCCTTCCCACTGGAGGGGTCTTAGCCATGTGATGTTTGCACCCCAAGGGGCAACCCAGAATCTTAACTGCTCTTGTTTGAGCTCCACAGCAGATATTTTGACTCTATTTTACAAACGGTCTGAAAAACCAATGCTTCTTTTAAGAGCCTTTTACTGTCTCTCCATCAGATTTAAATAGTCTTTGTTCCATGAGGCAAGAAACCATGGTTGGCGTTAGGGACTGAACGCAACATCTTGGCCAGCTAGCTAGAGACCTAAACTTCCATTAGTAATAATAACAACAAAAACAACAAACAGTAGCAGCAATGCTCAACATTTCTGTACCACTTGCAATGTGCTAGGCACTGCACTGAGTACTTTATATGTGTTAAACACTTGCCTTTTACACAACCTCACACAATGAAGGAAGGGATACCATTAAGACTCCCTTTTACAGACAGGGAAACTGAATCATAGAGTTTAGGTAACTTGCTAAACGTTCCACCCGTCACGGTTCCACTTGAAAGAGCCAGCAGTGAACCTAGAAAGGTCAAGCATTTAACTAGATTCCTTTAAGGAAAATAAAGCAGATATTACCTGCTTTACTTCTCTGTAACATCTTTCAAGACTGGTAATGAGAACATCAAGTTTCAGGACAATATGCTGTTATGTATTTAATGAACATCTTATAATGTATAATAATTTTATTAATTATTCATTAGTTTAAAAACACCTATTGAATGCTTAGTGTGTATCAGGAACTGATAGAAAAATTATTACCCTCATGGGACTTAAAATTACTACATTCAAATAATTGCATTACCAAAATATCAAGAATAAAGATTAACTAATGATAAAACCACTCAACATAGCTTCTATTATAATTTAGAATAGTTTTTCTGATGAGTATATTTGCTTTTATTATATAACTTCCCCATATACTATAATTTTGTTTAAAATATAGTATCAGAAAAGGAAAGTTATTTACTCTTGAAGATTATTTTGTCCCTCTATTGTTTACTGGAATTTTTTTGTGGTATTATATTTTGTATATTTAGGGAAAAAAAAGACAGCTCTTTTAAAAAAGCATTTAGAGAATTCTTTCTAAGGACAGTATATAATTTTGAACTTTGTATATAGAAGCATTAATTTCTTTATTTTTTTTTTACTAATTTCTTTTCTTAAAATTCAATTATAGTTGATTGCTTTTTTTTGTGTCCCAATATTGAACATAGCATGGGGTTGAGCAAACAAGCGTCAACACAGTGTCCGAGGAAAGGAAATTCTGATTAACTAGGTGATTTAACCAGAGATGGAGTTATTAAACTGCATCAGCTGTATCCTGTGTTATCACATCTTCTGTGGAGGCATCACTATTGTTATATTATTGGAGAACAGGATGGGATGACCCAGGTCATTTTATTTTTGTACACATTTTCAAAATGTCATCTAAACTTCCGATTTACTGTATTATACTTGGTTTCTTCTACTAAAGTTTCAGGGCAGGTCATAGTACTTTACACACACAAAAAGGAAATGAAATAAAATGAAGGAAATGAAAATAAAATGAAATTGATATATAAACATACTCTGAGCCCAATAGACACACTCAAGTCACAAACAAAATGCAAACATTTTACCTGTTTTCCCAGTGTTATGAATGAAGGTGTTTTCCAAAGATGTTTTATCCCAACCCTGAAATTTAAGTTTCTTAAGATTCACGTTGACTTGGGTAAGATCTTCATCAATGTTGATGGGAGACTGTTTGGGGCTACTACACGTTGGGTACTTCTTTCCCCAGTTTTTTTGATTCAGTGCCCCTAGGGAAAGGAAAGGGTAAGAAGTTAGTTTTTTAGATACTGTGCAAAAAGCTCAGCTTTGTATTCTTAAGTAGTCCAGACATTTCGTAACCATAGATATAATAGTAGAAGACACTGGAACATTTTTGAATCGGTTCCTAAAGCAGTTGTGCCAGGGTGGGGTTCTGGGCTTTGCTGTGATCCACGGTGGGAGGCCTCTGTGAAGCCGCTCGAGCTCTGACTCAGCAAGGGCTCAGCTGGGCCCTCGCTCCTGGCTAATCGACAGCAGCCTCCCACCACCTCTCCGGCCTGTGCAAGGCCAGGTCCAGCCATCAGGTGCGGCAGGTGCCAGGTTCTGGCCTCCCTGTGTGCTCCGTGGGGCGGGTCCCTTCCGGCCTCCTGTCACCCCACCTATGTGATCCTCATGCTCTCCCTGAAATGTCTCCTCCTCTCTCTCACTCTTGTTTGTTATTTGTTATATTGTGCCCAAGATGGTGAACCTCAGAAACCACTGAGGAGCTGACACCAATGCAAGTACATGAGAGTTTATTAACAAGCTCGAGCTTGGGTCCAAGTGCACCCGACACAGCAGAGCAGGGACTTGGACCCAAGCTCGAGCTTGTTAATAAACCCTCGTGTACTTGCATCGGAGTCAGCTCCTTGGTGGCTTCTTGGACTCGCAATCTTGGGCACAACATCTGGGGGCTCGTCCGGGATCCGAGAGACCCCCAGGACCACATCCAGAGGGTTTCACGCCTGGTGAGTGTACTCAACTTTTTCCACTTTTTGTGCGCATATTCTCTGAGAGCTCTATACTGTACTTTTACCTGTAGGAATTCCCATCTGTATTAGATTGACATTGGCTTAGGCGGATGCACTGGTGGGCCATCGACCGGGGGTCTTGAGGAGATGTCCCTTGCCCCTGCCGGGAGGACTGGGTCCTCATCTGTAAGGAGGGCCGACTGCCAGCCCTTTCGGGTTACTTTCTGTTTTGTCTCTGCGGCCGCACTGGAATGTTTGTCTGTGTTATTGTGTCCTTGTTAATCGTCTTTGCTGTCTGTGTCTTGGTGTGGATGGGGCACATAATGGGGCAGACAAAAACCACTCCCCTGCCTCTTATGCTCTCCCACTTCTCGGACGTTAGGGAAAGAGCTCATAATCTGAGCACAGACATATGGAGAGGGAAATTTCAAACTTACTGCATGTCAGAATGGCCAACCTTTGACGTGGGATGGCCCCAAGAAGGAACTTTCCACCTACCTTTTATCTTAAAGGTTAAGGCCGTGATCTTCAGGGACAAACCAGACAGCCACCCTGACCAGGTGCCCTACATCCTGGTCTGGCAGGACATGATCGAGAATCCCCCCTCCTTGGCTAAAACCATTTTTACTCCCCAAAGCACACAACTCGGCTGAAGGTAAGGAGAGACTCTAGGTCCACTGCCAGACTCTCCCGGCGGGTCTCCAGGCTCCTCGGCAAGCCTACCGATCCGGCCGAGGTATATGTTGTGAGACAGGGTAAGGATGAGAGTCCAGCAGCCTTCCTAGAGACAGTCATGGAGGCTTTTAGGCAGTGCACCCCTAGGAACCCAGAAGCCCCGGAAACAAAGGCTGCAATTATCATGGCCTTTGTAACCAGGCTGCTTCAGACATTAAAAAGATACTGCAAAGAGTAGAGAGACTAGGGGAGAAGAGCTTGCAGGACTTAGTAATAGTAGCAAAAAAAGTCTATAATAATAGAGAAAGTCCAGAAGAGCAACAAACCAAACTAAGTGACCGGCAGACCTGAAACTTGGCCAAGATCCTGCTGGCCACAACCATGGATGACCCACGGGAAAGATGGAGGCACCTCAAGAAGCTGGCTTCAGGGACAGGTAAGGAGGATGGCCCTGGTCCCCGTCGGGAGCGCCCTAAACTGAACAAAAACCAATGTGCTTATTGCAAGGAAGAGGGCCACTGGGTGAAAGACTGTCCTAACAAAAGATCTAAGGCCCCTGCCAAGATCTTGGAGATGGTGGACCTGGACGACTAGGGGAGTCGGGGTTCGGCACCCCTCCCCGAGCCCAGGGTAACGCTCAGAGTGGAGGGACAGCCCGTTGAATTCCTAGTGGACACTGGGGCACAACATTTGGTTTTATTACAACCCCAAGGAAAATTGGCAAGCAAGACCTCATGGTGCAAGGGGCCACGGGCGCCAACAGTACTCATGGACTACCCAGAGAACTGTGGATCTCGGCATGGGCCGGGTATCCCACTCCTTCATGGTCATCCCCGAGTGTCCCTACCTGTTGTTAGGTCGGAATTTGCTCACCAAGATGAGGGCACAAATTCGCTTCTACCCCGAAGGGGCAAAAATCCTAAACAAGGAGGGGCACCCGATTCAGGTGCTTGTCCTGAGTTTAGAACACTAATATTGTCTCCATCAAACACCCTCAGCCCCAGTGACTGACACTGACCGTTGGCTGCAGGACTTTCCCCAAGTGTGGGCAGAAACTGGGGGAACTGGGCTGGCCCGGCACCGACTGGCCATATACATAGAACTAAAGCTGGAGGCAGACCCTGTCAGGGTCGGCCAATACCCCATGCCTCTCGTCTCCCTAACCCAGACTGGGACCCCCCTCTGCATGACTGTCAAGAAATTTTGGCGCAGGTGCACGGAATCAGAGCTGATCTGAAAACTTATTAGGAAGACGCGCCCTCTTCCTGGAGAGCCGGAGCCGATGGCCTTCACTCTGCCCCGGGCATACTCTGGCCTCTAGGCACAGCTTTATGATTCGGCCCATCTGCCGCTTGTCCCGTAAAGGTTGTGGGCCTGGGGCAAACTGCTCGGCCGACTGATGGCGTGCGACGGCAATGGGGAACGTGCAGCAGGAGTCCGTGGGCCCGCGCACGCTCCTATGTCCTCCCGCACCCAGCAGGAGGCTCACGGTCGTGGTGCAACAAACACGAAACTCCCAGGGTCCACGAACGAGCCTGCACTGCGTGCGTGGCTGGCGGTCACCTCTGCGGATCCTGGCGCGGCGCGGCCACCACCAAACGCTGGACTTCTGCCGGGCAACCAGCTGCTCCTGCCATCTCCGTCATCCCCTGCACGCAGAAGCCATCCCGGCGCCCGTCCCTGTCTCTTCCCCATCGAGCCTCTGGGTCCGCCTCCCAGGGACGTCCTCCAGCAGACGGCTCACGGCTGCCGCTAGCTGCCCAGCCCAGGCCGCTGTCCCTGCGGGCCCCAGTCTTGCCGCGCCCCGAGCACCTGCCATCACCCGGAGACCGTGAGGGCGACTGAGGGGCAGGTCCCACCAGGACGCTGCTAAGCAACAGGCTAATTTTAACTGGGTCCCCAGGAGATGCATGGACACATTAAATTTTGAGAAGCAACGGCTTGGACATTTCCAGGGCCTTCTAGTGGGTCTCTGGCTTCTCCTCGGGCCCCCCACCTACAAACCCACTCTCCCTGACATGGTGGGCAGACCTCTGAGAATATGACAGGATAGCCATTCCTGTAACCAGGTCACGTTACACGACAAAGGTGACGGGGGTCCCTGCTGCGATGCTGTGACAGTACAGAAGGCTCATCCCAGCTCACTGCGGATGGAGAGATCAATGTGCCAGACATTCGAAGCCGTGCCTGCCCCCCGCCGGGGCTGGAAGAGCGGGGCGTCCAGCCAGGCCCCGGATCCCGGAGCGGCCCCAGGCCGACAGCCAGCAAAACAAGCACACCACATGCCAGTTACAAACAGACCAACACCGGGTGGTTCCTCTACACACGAGGTTCCTAAAATAACCAAATTCACGGGGAGAAAGCAGAACGGCTGTCACCTGGAGACGGGGCGCTGCTTAATGGGTACAGAATCCCGCTGTGCAAGAGGAAAAGTCCTGGGGATCTGTTTTCCAACAACATGAGTACACATAACACGACCAAACTGTGCACTTAAAAATGCTGAAGATGGAAAATTCTGTGAGTCTTTTTTTATGGCAGCAGAAGTAGTAGTTAACCAAATAAACAAAATAAACAAACAAAAAATAGGGACCTGGACCTCAATCTTACAAAAAGGAAGGGAACCCTGCCAATGCCCCGCCGAAGCCCCACACTTCACGTGAGAACACAGCCCAGCCAGCGGCTCGGTTTCACTCAGGGGACCCTGAGCAGAGCACCCGGTTCAGCGGTCACTCCTCTCTGACCCCTGACCCATGGAAACTATGAGATAATAAATTATTTTTTTTAAAAGATTTTATTTATTTGACAGAAGAGAGAGAGAAAGAGAGAGCAAGCATGAGTTGGGGAGAGAGGGCTAGAGGGAGGAAACTCCCCACTGTGCAGGGGGCCCGACGCAGGGCTCGATCCCAGGACCCACAGAATCATGCTCCATGCCGAAGGCAGACGCCCAACTGACTGAGCCACCCAGGCGCCCTGATTAGAAATGTGCTTAAAAGCCACAAAACTTGGGGCCCCTGGGTGGCTCAGTCCATTAAGCACCTGACTCTCAATTTGGGCTCAGGTCATGACCTTGGGGTCCTGAGGTCAAGCCATGAGCCCAGCTCCGTGTCAGGCTCTACACTCAGTGGGGAGTCTGCTTAAGATTCTCACTTCCCCTATCCCTCTGCTTCTCTCCTGGCTCCCTCCCTCCCTATATATATAAAATCTTTAAAAAAAATAAAATAAAAGCCACTAAATCCAAAGCAATTTGTTATGTGACATAAGAATACTAATATAATCAATAACTTATCTTTTAAAATATTTATCAAATCATGTCGTTTCCTGACCTGGGTCCCTCTAATACCCTCCATCTCACTCAGAAGAAAATGCAAGCTCCTTTTTTTTTTTTTTAAAAGATTTTTATTTATTTATTTATTCACGAGAGACACACACAGAGAGAGAGGCAGACACAGGCAGAGGGAGAAGCAGGCTCCACGCAGGGAGCCTGACGTGGGAATCTATCCTGGATCTCCAGGATCACGTCCTGGGCTGAAGGCAGCACTAAACTGCTGAGCCACTGCCTGAAAATGCAAACTCCCTAACGCAGC